CATATTTGTTCAAAGGCTTTTAAATTTTTTGCAGTTATTATCATGTTAAAATTATTGTTGAAGTTATTTAGTTAAGTTAACCAATTACACATTTGTTTCAGTGTATAATAAATAAAAATAATAAATGTCCCATCAGTAATGTCCCGTCAGTAACGAGAAATCAAAATGCATTGCCTACATAGATTACACTGAAAGATGAGTGATGTCAAAATAAGTTATACTAACTGCATCTGCAACATCTATACTTTTCTTCAACATTATTCTGATTCAGAGAATTATTCTCTTCTAGTAACCAGAAATTTTTTTGACCTTTTTCTTGTCCCATCAGTAACAACATTTTATTGATATCTAGTTCGTAAAATAAAAAACATTTTAATAGCTCTGATACTGAAAATTTTACACAAACTATAGCTTTAATAGTTACCCAAATATTACCGTCATTAGCCAATTACTGATAGCAACAAATATCAAAAAATAGTTAAATTTTTTTCCGATTGTCCCATCAGTAACGCGTGCAATCGCCCTATACCTAAAATGAATAGTTTTCGAAATATTACTTTTTTCCCGTGATATATGAGCGTCAATCATAAAAAGGCTTTAATTTTTTTTCAAAGGGTAAATTAGACTTGAAAGGTTAATAACTTTTTTATTTTAAAGCCCGCTGCACAATAGCCCGGTAACGGGAATCTGAACAGTAAAGGCGGGAGAGACTAAGAAACCACTGTTGATAGATAGTGTTTGCTAAGTCTCTCCCACCTTTACCGTTTAGGTTGCCGTTCCCGTTCTCCTTACCGGGCTGTTGTGCAGCGGGCTTAAATGTATTTTTTTCCAGTAATTTTCTTTACAAATTGTTTATAACAACTTGAAAAATTGACGACATTAAATTTTGAACAATGACAGATTAAATGATAGATACCGTCGACTCACCCGTCACAGGTTTTAATACAAAATAATATTTAAAATTTTAGAAATTGTTAAATATCTCTGATATCAATAACTTAAGGTATAGGGAATAGTTACATCAATCAAAAGGTTTTTTAATTTACTCTTTGATTATGTAAAAACATACCGGGTGTTACATTTAAAATAAAAAAGTTATTAAATTTTCCAGTCAGCCTAATTTGCCCTGGGTTTTCTCAGGTAATTTGTTGAACAATTTTAAAGAATTGACAAGGAATCTTTTAAAAAATGTTTTAAGATTGCAAAAATTCTACCACCATATTCGCAAACCTATAGGTTATTATAATAACAAAAAAGTTATAGGCTAATTTTGATTGACGCGCATTTGTCAAATTAAAACAAAAAAATTAATAACTCGAAAACTATACTATACCAGAGGTTCCCAAAGTGTGCGCCATGGCGCTCTTGTATCATCATTTAAAAAAAAAACTGCTCGTCATAAAAATCGAAGCACCTAGTTTTTTGGAAAATAAACTGCGCATCACTCAATGTGTCGCGACCAAAAATTTCGTCCTTTTTCAAAACGACATAACTTTTTTGTTTCTTGAACGATTTTATTTTGGTTTGTGATGTCTGCTAGCCCCATTATCTGGCAATTCATGCTGTAGATATGAAGCTCACGGTTTTTCAAGTAAATTTACTACAGGGTGATATGTAAAACAGTGAAAAATTTGAATAACTTCATCCAAGCCCCGTTTGTAAAATAAATATTTTTTTCTCGTTTTTACTTTGAAATAATGAAGTATTATGTGTTACCTTGAAACGTTTTTTAAATTTTTCGAATTGGACTCTTAGCAACAAAAATATGATTTTTTTTTCAATGGAATACATTTGATGCTTTTTTGTAGGCAATACACTCAGCCTTTTTAAGAACAAAAAGATAAGATGGTGAAAGATTGTTCCTTGAATAATTCTGAACAAGCGACAAGCAACAAACTTCCATTATTTTCAGAGGAACCTAAGCAAAGACCACTTGTTCAAAATTACATTTTGGTGAAAATTTTCGAAAACTAAACCTGAACCGATATTTACGTTCGTGACATGTTTTCTTCATAATTTTGACCTGGTTGTGATTCAGTTGTCAAATTTAGGTTTCAGATAAAACTAAAATCACCAAGAATCAAAATTCGAAAACAATTCCTGGCTGTTAAATGTTTCAATAAAATCTGATTTCTGGATTGTACTGTTTTTTTAATGTGTTTTGCATCTTTAGTACATTATTATCATGAATGATCAAATCAAGGATCAAATGAAAATTAAATGCCAATAATTTGGTGTTGGTGGACAATGCCCGTCCGCATCGCGCTAAAATCGTAAATGAGTATTTAAGGGACCATGATATTGAGAGAGTTAATTGGCCACCTTTGTCTCCGGATATTAATCCTATTGAGCATGTGTGGAGCAGGATGAAACTGAAGATGAAAGAGAGGAAAAGCTCATGGAAAGATTGGTTGAATTGGTAAATTCGATTCAGGAAGAATGGGAAGCCATACCCCAGGAATTTCTAAGGAACTTGGTCTAGGGAATGCCCAGGAGGGTTAACCAATTATTACGGGTTAGGGGAGGGCCAACGAAAGATATTATTGATATTGTTTGATAAATTTTTCTGTTGAATGTTGTAGTTTTTATTATGATTATATCTTCGCATAAAATTTTCAAAAATGAACAAACAAATTTTGTTTTTAACTTTATTACCAATTAGGTAGGTTCTTATCAGTAATAAGTTATCACTAGTGCGCAATATAAATGTAATTTATGTAACATTATCCTAACCACTTAAACAAATTGCAGTAATTTTTCCCAAAAAATGAATCCCAAATGGCATTGGCAAAGGATGTTATTGAGACATGTCACGAACGTAAATATCGCTTCAGGTTTAGTTTTCGCAAATTTTCTCCAAAATGTTATTTTGAAAAAGTGGTCTTTGCTTAGGTTCCTCTGAAATTAATGGAAGTTTGTTGCTTGTCGCTTGTTCAGAATTATTCAAGGAACAATCTTTTACCATCTTATCTTTTTTATCTTAAAACGGCTGAGTGTATTGCCTATAAAAAAGCATTAAATGTACCCTTTTGAAAAAAAAATCATATTTTTATTGCTAAGATTCCAATTCAAAAACGTTTCAAGGTAAGACATAATACTTCATTATTTCAAAGTAAAAACGAGAAAAAAATATTTTTTTTACAAACGGGGCTTGGATGAAGTTATTGAAATTTTTCACCGTTTTACATATCACCCTGTAGGTAATTTTCTTGAAGAACCGTGAGCTTCATATCTATAGCATGAATTTCCAAAGAATGGGGCTAGCAGACATCACAAACCAAAATAAATTCGTTCAGGAAACAAAAAAGTTATGTCGTTTTGAAAAACGACGAAATTTTTGGTCGCGACACATTGACTGATGCGCAGTTTATTTGAAAGCTCGTTATTGGACTCTTATGTCTAATTTTGGGAATACGATATTTTGCACATAGCATTATACTACAATGTGTTAAACGAAGAGATGTATTTTTTCCGAAATTTCAAGTTATTCCCATTCATGAGGCAGTTGAGTTTGAAAGTCGTAATACCCCTCCCTAATATTAGTAAGGTAATCCCTCGAAACGTTTTCGAGTTTTTTTGAATATCGCGGCTTACCACATAGCATGATACTACAGGGTGTTAAAAAAAGATGTTTTTTTTACAAAATTCCAAATCCTCATTCACAGGGCAGTTAAGCTTGATAGTTCTAATACCCCTTCCTAATAACAGTTAGGTAATCCCTCAGGACATTTTCGAGATTTTGTAGATATCTTGGATAACTACGATTATATGGCAGTTTTTTGAAAATTCAAGTTATTCTTCACTTAAGTCTCAAAAATGAGCAAACTACGTATCAACACAGCATTTTAAGGTAGGTCACGTCACTTCATGTACGTTGCGTGATTCATTAAAAGTGAAATGTTTCACACAAAACCAATTTTTTTTTGGTTAAATTCAAAATAAAAACGCAAACCAATCAAAATTATTCTCGTAAACTTATGCAGGCTATATTCATGCAATTTTCTACAAACGGTTGACTATGAAAGTTTAAAAAATATGGCGCATATCTGGTTTTGAGTTTCCTTCCTTCAATTATTCTTGTCATTTTTGTTGTCGAATATGAAAATATTTTTCAAACAGCAAAACACATTTAAAAAAATATAATGACGGATGTAAGATTGCATACCACGCAAGACGAAGAGCTGCTAGAAGAAGATGAGCACAAGAACATGCAAAATGGGGAAACGATGTGTTGATAACTAATCGATACCTTTCGTAGTTTGCTCATTTTTGGGAATTAAGTGGAGAATAACGACAATTTTTGAAAAATTGCTATTTAATCGTAGTTAGCCAAGATATCCACAAAATCTCGAAAACGTCCCGAGGGATTACCTAACTGTTATTAGGAAGGGGTATTAGAACTATCAAGCTTAACTGCCCTGTGAATGAGGATTTGGAATTTTGTAAAAAAAAACATCTCTTTTTTAACACCCTGTAGTATCATGCTATGTGCACAATATCGTATTTCCAAAATAAGACATAAGAATCAACTATTGCTCATTTTTTGGACTCAAATGAAGAATAACGTGAATTTTCTAAAAATTGCCATATAATCGTAGTTAGCCAAGATATCCACAAAATCTCGAAAACGTCCTGAGGGATAACCTAACTGTTATTAGGAAGGGGTATTACGACTAATTTAAAAATAAATGTATAAAAAAAACAGAACGCAAGCATACATTTTTAAAACTAGCCCCTAGCCCCTAAAACCCCCCTTGATCCAGAGCTGGAAGTGGCATTTTGTTTAAAATATTTTAGAAAAATAGACTTAAATGAATTATAAACGCTTTTAAAATTTCAAATCGATATATCTTTCCGTTCCCCAGAAATTTCTAACGGACCACGAATGTGAAACACCCTGTATATATATATATATATATATATATGTTTATATTAAATTTAGTATAAATTAACATATGTTAAGTTGTTAATATATTAAAAAGTTAATATTAACGTTTTAGTTTCCTAAACAACAATTTTCCAGAGATTTTCAAATAAAAATAAATAATTTGTGTGTTCATTTAATACACATGGATAAAGTTGATGCTGCTATTGAAATCTATAAACACTATATAGATGTATCTCAAGAAAATGACTATGGATTTCAACTATTAAAAGAAATGCTTTTACTCAATAAGGTAAATATTAGCAACTTTAAAATTATATATAATATATTATAATATAGTCTATATATTATATAGATATCATTCTTTAGGATATAGAAAAGATCATTAATGTTGCCAAGGAATTTAAAGAGAAAGAATTAAACTCAAACTGCCTAGAGAAGTTAACAAATGTTGCTCTTAAATTTGGCCATATAGAGCCAGCATGGACACTACTTACAAATTTTGATGAATTAAGACCACACTACTTTTGGCCTATTTTAATAATTGCTTCTAAAAGAGAAGGAGAACAAGGTAATGTACTTGCATGTAAAGTAATATGTATTACCACAGTGTAAAGAGAACTGTAGCAATATTTGTGCTATTTATGATTTGACATTGACTGATTTCAAACATAGATCATATTATAGTATTACTACCTATTTATAAAAAAGTGGGAAAGGACCTTGAGGGATTTAGTTATTTATTTTGAGCTTAAAAAGCAATAATCTTTAATGATAATAACTATATTTTTATGGTTTCAAGTCTTGTGTTCTCAAAAATAAATTCTCATAGCAAAAATATCTTCAATATAAACATTTCTTAAAGCAAAAATAACATACCATCATCCAGGAACCTGGATACAAATTTAATCAAATAATAACCAAAGCTAACTAACCCAACCAAACCATCATTTAGGGACCTATTTAGATAAAAATGTAACATCAAAATACACTGAGAAATAAAATTATATAAAACAATAAAAACAACAAACACACAAACAATTGTTTTTTTTATTTAGAGATATTGTCACCCATAATATAACAAGTGGTATGATTATCATCGATGATATTTTCGAATTGAAACCGAGCTGCAGATTTCACGAGTCCTAAGAAATCATTGTCCAAGAAAATAAGATTGGTCCCCAATTTTTATAAATTACAGCCATAGATATAGATATATCTCTGATTACAGCACACAAATTTAATAATTTCTTTTAGGTGTACAAAGTGTATTAAAAAAAATTTATGAATATAATGTTCACCTTGATAGTGAATCTTTGGAATGGTATGTATTTAGGTTTTGCGATTTATCTCAACCTAAACTGATTATTAAAAAAATGCAAACTTTTGACTACACTGTTAAAGAGTTACTTAGTCCTTTAGTAACGGTTTTGTTAAGGAATAATAAACTTATCCAAGCCGAAAATTTAGGTAAACATTTTTATTCAATAAACAATTTTTTAACTATACTATTTTAGTTAAATCATATAATGTGGGCATATTTGGAGATGAAATTTTACCGCAACTTGCACATTGTTTTTTAAAAACTAAAAATACAAAAGCAGTTGTAACTATTTTATCAACATTTTGCGAATCAAATGTCAATTCAAGTGACCATGTTGGAGAATTTTTAATCAGAGTAGTTGGTCTTTACAAAAACACACCCCAAATAAATCAGTTTACGGAACTATTGAAAGTTTTAAAAGAGAATATGTTGAAAATTCACTATAATTCTTTTGAAATTATTCAAAATAAAATGGAAGGGAAAAATTTGGGGGATTTACAAGATCTGTTGAGAGCAGTATCGGAATTTCAAATACCGCCAGAACCTAGTCAAATACCTCATCCTGTAAGTTTGGGAGATGGAGCGAGTTATTAAAAGAACTGAATCTAAGAATACAACAAACTTACAATATATTTTTAGCGTGAAATGAACATACAAGAATTGGAGTGTCACTTAGAGGAACTTTTAGAAAAAAAAATGGAAACCAGAGGTGTCCTAAGAAGACTTATACAGCTACATTGCAATTCAGGAAATCATAAAAGAGTTAAAGAACTACAAGACATGTTTATTACAAAAGGATATACTGAATCAGCAGGGATGATTACTTCTGTGTTTTATTCTTATGTTCAAGGTGGACATCTACCACAAGCGTTAGAAGTTTATTATGAGCTTAAGAAAAATCAGCCAAATTTTATTATAGATGAATATAAAATTATTGATTTAGTAGCTTTAATGGTTAAAGAAAAAGTCGTTGATCAGGCAATTAATATTATTAATGAAGAGTCCAAAGCTAGGTCAGTTAAAGTATGTTTGTATCGGATTGTATGTTATGTGTAAGTATGTTGTTTTAGAAAAGTTTTCGGGGGAAAAGGAATTGTAAGAAATTGTTTAAATCTCCTGAATAATTTTGAAGATGTTAATAAACAAAATGAAATTTTTAAACTACTGTTAAAATATGAGTATTGCCAACCAACAAATGTAATATTAGGTCCAATAATCAGGCTAAATATGAAATGGTAAAATTTATTTATTTAGTTTTCATATAAGCAAAATATTGTCAAATTTTAGTGATGTGCAAAAAGCAGTTGAAAGATTTGTTGAATTTTCAAATCAATATAAATGTACCCCATTACAGCTGGAGTTAATTCGTGCACTACTAGAAGAAAATAATGAAGACTTGATAAAAGCTGCACTTACAGCTACCGAAAAAGTTCATGGTACCACAGCGGCATTTTCAGTTTATGCCTCTGCTTTAGCGGAAAAAGGACTGACTAAAAAGTTAACAAAGTATTTAGGGGTACTAACTCTTTTATTTTTTTATAACTTTACTTACTAAATATTTTTAGATGATAACTATTCCTTTAGTTCGCGAAATCAATAAAAGATGTGAAAGGTGGGTTCATGAAAGTAAAGTTGAACCCTTAAAAACATTAGCCATAGCATCGGAAAGAATTTCATCTGAAGTTGTTGATAGGTCTAAGGTTGTTAATAGTATTATGGATATTTATTGTAAGTATAATACATTTCGTAAATAGGATATTTTTAAAATAATTTTAACATTGCAGGCAGTAGAAAGGACTGTGAATCAGCTATAGATTTATGTAATAGTTTTAATGAAGATGACTTTATTAGGAAAGGACTATTACAAAGATTAGAAAATCTATTAATAAAGTGTAACTATAAAAAAGCCACACTTGTAAATAAATAGTAAATTAAAACAAAAATGGGTTTACATTAATTTATTTTGTTTCAAATATGGTAATATGCACATAAAATAAAATACATTGACTATACATATTGTATAATACAGAACAGCATGATATTGGCATGAAGTACAGAATAGGGACTTAAAATTTTGCTATTTAAATACTGAAAAACAAAGAAATCAAACAATATTGTTTAAGATATTTTCATATGGGCCATTCCATAGACACCTATCCCACCCATCACAATTAAAACATTTTTAACAAAAATTACTCCACTCTTATCCTTTTAAATTGTTCTAGTTGTCTAATACTAATTTTTTTTAATAAATCTTAAGCCCTTTGAAATTATAAGAATAAAATAAATCACACTGTTCCATTTTAAATTAGAAAAAATATGTGAAAATTTATATACACCACTAAAGTAAATAAAATAAAAAATTAACAGTTAAATAATTATGTAATATTTTATACATCAGACTGTTGGTTTAAAAACATTAAATAATAAAAACGCCTGGTTTCTTATATTTATGAAAAAATAGATTTTTTTGGGAAAATAAGCGGTACAAATATATTTTTAGCTCATATAACATACGCCATATATATATATATTTATATACAGCGTGCACCAAGTATCCTTTTATGTGTATACTATATATATTTTTATTTGAAAAGTTACAAGGTCGGTTAAGTTAGAAAAAATTTGAATAACTACAAGCCTATTAACATGAAATTTATAAATTGGAAAAAATCCAGAGATTCTCAAAATATTAAAAAAAAACTAAAAACATTTCAAAACCAAAAATCCTTATAACTTTGTTATTCCTGGGAATTTTGAAACAAAGTTTTACATGTTAACAACATATTAAACTACATTTTTATCCAATTTCTAAGCAATTTTTTGAGTTACCATCACCATTTTGGATTCCTTGATTTTTTTTTCATCTAACCAATAATTATAAGAAAAACAAAATGTGGTGGTATCTTATAATCTAGCAGGTGAAAAAAAAAATAAAAATTGGATAAAAATGTAGATAAATGTATGTTTACATGGAATAACCAAGTTATAACGGTTTTTGATTTTGACATGTTTTTAGTTTTTTTTTTTAAATTACTCGAGAAACTTTTTTCAAGTTTTTAATTGCCATTTTAATAGACTTGTAATTACGCAACTTTTGTCTTATTTAACCGACCTTGTAGATCTACAAAAAAGATACCTGTATATAGAAGGATACTTGGTGCACTCTGTATACCAGCAAGATCTACATATGTGCTTTAAAAGTTGCTATAAAAAATATTGATGATTAATTTTGAAAGTATAAACATAAAAAAAAGTGACTGGTTTAAAAATTATTTACTGGTAAAAGATATATTTGATTTTTTAATTATTACTAAACAAGGCACTGTTTAAATAGCATAATTAATATTAAATTAAATTGCATAATTAATATTAATTCAGTGGTTAAGTAAAGTTAAAATTACATTAATTTTGTTAACGGGAAATTCCACGCCAAATCAACCCCTTTTCAGAAAAATTTAAATTCGTTTTTTTATTTTATTTTTCTAAAAAAAAATGAAAGAAAAGTTGGCCCACTATGATATTTGCGGCAATAAACGCAGAGTTGATAAACATTTTCTTTCAAAAAAAGCAACTTAAAAAATTCATATTTTTACTAAAAAAATTAAATAAATATGACTTTAAATATTTAGTTTGTTTTTTCTGAAAAGTACATTTAAAATAAAAAATTTATCAAATCAAAAGGGTTAAGTTTAAAAGTGTCTGATTTGTTGTGGAATGCCCCATATAACAAAAATTCAAATATTTAATAGAAAATGCCTTGTAAAGAAACATAAAGATTGAACAACAGTATAAAGGAAACAAACCAACTCAAAAACATTGAGTGTTCAAACTCAATTACAATACTTAGCAATATCTTGCAAGTCAGTCTGTAAATGCTTTGATTAATACCTTAATCTTACAACCTAACAAAATATTTCACTGTATGATGATAACAAATTTAGGCAATTTTACGAGATTCTATATTTTAAAGTTTTTAAAACTGCATATAACAGTACCAAAGTAAATATGTATAAATTAACAAAAACATAAATGTAAAAGTTCCGCAAAATATACATTTCTTATTCAACTAAAAAGTATTTTCAACCAAACAACTCACACATATTTACTTTATTTTTAATAAATCTCATTTCATCAAATACAAAGTTATTATTTTAAGTAGATCAGGTCACCTAAATTGCATCTTTTAAAAACATTTTTTTCTTAACTTTCCTTATAAATAATCTTTATCATATTCAGTCTGTGTAAATATTATGTACACTTTTAACTAGTTGTTTTCATTAAATAAACTAACTTGCCCTGTATCATGGGGCACTCCTTGTACCACACATTTAAACAGTTGAGGCCTGTCAACCTTCTGAAACAGAAGACAAACTGCTTCTGGTCGAACCCATGCCGATTCTGCAGTGCTCCGGACTCAAGTCAGAAAGATCTGCCGGCAATGGCAACGGGGTCACCGGTCCATACACCCGTTCTTGCTCTTCCAGTTGGAGCGCAAAAGTTTCCTCCAATTTCTAAAATCACATATTTTTAGATTTGGGAGATTTCATTACTCTTTTTTAGAGGTTTTAGTTTGAATATGATTTTTTGTTTACGATTTATAGTTGTAAAAGCAGAAAATATGTTAAGAACATAAACAATTTGTGGTTTTAAAAGGAGAAAATCCAAGATTTTTTTCTTAAAAATAATTTTGAATTAAAAGATATTAACCAAAAAAGTTTTTTTAGATAGGTCAGTATTCTTGAAATCAGCACGATAAAAATTGCTACCATTGTTAAAAAAACTGTTCTATTTGACAATGAAAATTAATCATCCAAATTTTTTTTTTATATTTTATTTTCAGCAGTTATTGTCAAATGAAATTTTTGGTAAATTTTCAAACAAAACCTAGTTCAAACAGACAAGTCGATTTTAATGAAACTTTTTCATAATAATTTATCAAACTTCTTATAAACAATTTTATTTTAAATTTGAAAAAAAGTTAACTTCACAACAAAACTCAAAGGAATCTAAATTTGTTGAGAAAAATTCCGAGCAGTAATAACATTGGCTATTGATGGCGCATTTGATGTTGATTTAATACAAAAAATAATATTTTACTCAATAAAATATCTTAACATTTTTACTTCTCAAGTTTGCAATGATTAATTATTTTTTTGTAGAACCAGTGGACAGACCATTTTTATCAAAATCACAAAAAAAACATTTTTTAGATTTTAACCATTTGATTGTTATTGAATTATTGTGTCTATCAAGTAAATACCTATCAACACCAATGCATTAAATAATGATATTTTACCTAAAGCCCGTATTACAATCTGCAATTACTTGCAGCAATCTTTCTTAAGCCCGTATTAAAGTCTGCAATTACTTGCAGCAACTTTCTTGCACGAAGGCATGCGTATAGCGACGTTTCGTGCAAGTTTATTGCCGTTTCAAATTATCGGTCCTGCTCGATTTTTATTGCCAGTTCGGTTAGAATTGCAAAGTGTTTTACAGTCAGCAATAAAACTTGCATGTAAGAAAGTTGCTGCAAGTAATTGCAGACTGTAATACGGTCTTTACAGCATGCAAGTTTTATTGCTGACTGTAAAACACTTTGCAATTCCAATTTCAACTTGCATGATACCAACCGAACTGGCAATCAAAATCGAGCAGGGCCGATAATTTGAAGAGGCAATAAACTTGTACGAAACGTCGCTATGCGCATGACTTCGTTTAAGATTATTGCACGTAGAATTGCAGACTGTAAAACGGGCTTAAGAGGCATTTTAATTCACTAAACAATAAAAAATCAAAGGATTATTAACTAAAGAAAGTTTTTATTTAACTGTAGAAAAAATAAGCATTTTACGGTCGCGATTCACTTATTTGAAATTATAAATTTTTGAAGCAAAAATATAAAAAATTAAGTAAAAAAGGTCATTAAAAATGCGGTGTTGTGCACACTGGTATAACAATCTACGCAGCATTATTTTAATCACAATTTAAGATAATTTTTTCTTAACAGATTTTAGATTCTTCAGAGTTTTGTTGTGAAGCGACATTTTTTTACATTTATTATAGGTTCAGAACACAGAAAAAATCTATTGTTTAAAAAAAATGATAATTAATTATAGAAAATAAATGTTTTGTAAATTTTAGAACAATGTCCTATAGTCAATTTCTTTATGCCAAAGTTTCATCAAAACCAATTTATCAGTCCAAGAATAACTGGATTTTGTTAGAAAAGATACTAAAAATCACATTTGACAATAACTTTGCTAAAAAATAAAATATAAATGTTTGGTTTATTAATTTTTATGGTCAAATGGAAGTTTTTTTCAACATTTTGACAAAAAACAATGATTTCACCCTGGTACCAAACTAAAATATCACCAAAAAGTATAAAAATATTGGCTGTGTACTTAAGTTTGACAAAAAGGCTCTTGTAATTTTTCCTGTATAATAACCACCAGGAAATATTGTTTGTAAATCAAAAGAAGTAAAGATAAATTTAAAAAAAAAATATATGAACCATTAAAAAATGAACCATAGTTTTGTTTATTACAAATCAATTTAAAAAAAAGTAAAAATAACAGGGAAATTAACCAAGTTAATTCATTATTTAGAGCACAGGGGGAAAACGATCTGTCACATCGTCCCCAATATCAAATAAGGGCGTATCTCATATTTTACAATTTTATAGAGCTTTTTAAATATTGAAAATTTAGCTACTTTAAATTATTTTTTAAAAACCTTGTAGATTTTTTTTTTTAATAGTACATTATCCAACAGGCGGGAAAAGCGCTTATACAGTGCTTGCAATATCAAGTCCGACCGCACTGGAAAGGACGGCTGTTCAATACCCGCGTGAAAAGAACAAGGATAGAACGCCAAATAGAATTTGATTGGCCAGAGCCGGCTGCCGGATGCGTGCGAATTGTAAGCGAGGTCAACTCTGGCAGCCAGTCTGGCTGGATTTAGACTAAATGATTTAGTGTTAAGCAAACTGCGTAAGAGTGTAGATGCACATTTTAATTTTCTTTTTAAATATTTTATACCCGAATCCTAAAAATAAAATTTTTTGATTTTTTCCTTGAGAACTAGGGCAACAATAAAAATAGTATTCTTAATAAAAAAGATTTCTCAAATAAAAAATAATTCTGAATAAAAATAACTATAAATAAAAATAAAACTCTAAAAATAAATAATAAAAATAAATAAACTCAAAAATTAAATTAAATGTTCGAACAAGCCCCCATAGGCAGCCAAACAATAGCCTAACCTATTATAAAAATTCCCACGCACATTAGCTAGGACTTCTGAACTAATATCCCCCAACAAATTAGTTATGCGGATTCCTAAATCATTGAGGTTATTAGCCCGATCTTCCTAGAAAATGTACAGCTTCGACTTGAGGTACCCCCACAAAAAAAATCACACGGCGCCAAGTCCGGTGATCTAGCTGGCCAGAGAATTCCTCCTCGACCCATAATAAGACGAGGTCCAAAAGTGTCGGAAAGGAATTCCCGAACAGCCATCGTATTATGTGCGGGGCAACCGTCCTGCTGAAACCATACGTTTTCGATGTTAACTCCGTCTAAATTTTGAAGCGCGGGAACTATTTGCTCTCTTAAGAGATTTAAATACCTAGCGCCATTTAAATTCCCATTTATAAAAAATGGGCCAATTATTCGGTCGCCCAAAATACCCGCCCAGACATTAAGTTTTTGGGGATACTGTGTCCGAGCTGCATAAATCCTACGAGGATTTTCTCGCGCCCACATTCGAACATTCTGCGAATTGTGCCTGCCATGGAGAGTAAATGTCGACTCGTCAGTAAATAAAATATTACCGATAAAATTTGGGTCGGCATTTGCTCTCTCCATAAAAACCTCGCAAAATTCCATGCGGCGGAATGCATCGGCAGGGAATTGCTCGTTTCCCCGTCGCAGCTTAAATGGACGATATCCATGGCGTCTTAGCACATTTCGTGCCGTGGAAGCTGAAATATCAAACTTCCTAGCCACCGTACTTAATGCCTGGGTTGGGTTTTCTTCAATTGACGCGCAAATTAAAGTATCCCGCGCTTCTCTATTTAGATTTTCACGGGGAGGACGTTCCCGTCGGAGCTGCATCGGAACTACACAACCGTGCGTGAGAAAATTATTAACGGTTCGTCGAATTGTTTCTCTGTTTGGTCTGGCCTCGAACATTCCCGCAAATAATCTTTGAATTTTTCGTTCAGAATTACCAGCAAAATGCCAGATTAAAATCTGAACTTTTTGTTCCAACGTGTGCATTTTTTAATTAAATAATCTTTTTTACTAAAATTACTACCTCTTGCAGTTCTCGTTCTGATATCCTCGTGTCAAGCACGCTGCGAGGTGCGCGATGGGTATGCGTTGTCGTAGCCTGCCGGCTGGCCAATCAAATTCTATTCGACGTTCTATCCTTGTTCTTTTCACGCGGGTATTGAACAGCCGTCCTTTCCAGTGCGGTCGGACTTGATATTGCAAGCACTGTATAAAGCCGAGCTCAATGTTCGCTGCTTTCTCCGCCGTAATGAATATGCTATTTTTTTCAAGCGTTTAATTATTCTTTACTTACATTGAATTTATCGAGTTTGCGACATTGTCACGTATGACATATACACAGAACAAACCATGTTATATGATAGGTTATGTACATGAATTTATTTTACAGTGACTTGTAAGTTTACATTTTCTCTGCTGATATCGAGCTAAACGAGATAAATGAAACCACTTTTCTATGTAATTTTAATATATTTTCATTATTGGTGTATAATAATTTGACTTTTGAACTGCATACAAATATGAATAGGCTTATGAGTGTTATAATATGAAAAAAGTTATATTGTCAATATTTAAAATTATCTGTAAAATTGTTAAATATGAGATGCGCCCTAACAAGGAATATTATTTTTTAGATAAAAACGTTAGGGGTGTAATGTTTTAAATAAAACAAACTTACAAACTTGCGAATGTTTTAATATAATGGAACATTTCATGTAATAATGCATACTATTATATGGCATATTTCATTCTATTGAAACATGAATGCGACTTAATTTTTCCCGGTATACTTATTTTAAAATTTGTTAAAACGTCATAAATGTCTTATCGTATGTTATTTTGAATGTTTTATTAATAAAATTGATATGATGACAAATTAATGTATTTCAAAGTATGGTTTCAACACATTTAAACAAATCATATACAAAAAACCCAAACCCTCTAATTAAGTATATTGAGAAACCAAGTCTACAATACGAATATCATTATTTACCTGTTAGTCAGTATTGTGTATAATACAGGATGGAAGAGTGCAAGTGAAATAAACAACAAAACAAAAAAGTGAGAGAGGACAAACAAAAAACAAAACGAAAAACTAAGCGTTGGAATCTTGATGAGAATCAGGCGAAAGGGCCAAAATTGTGGTGCTCCAGTTTCTTTGATGTCCCCAGCCGTAGGTTTTACGGCGGTCGGACATAAAAGGACTCGAGGGGACAGAGGAGGTGGAATAGGGAAAGGAATCCTCGTTATCGTTATCTGTGGAAGACGAGCCGGGCGGTTCGATTTGTATACGCAGGTACTTCGCTCGGTGCATTATTTTTTTCACGTCCTCTTCGAGCTTCTATAAGAATGCATGCAATGTTAGTCAGTGTGCGTGATAATGATGCATAAATGAAAACATAACTACTGTTATTAATCCAATCAATTATAATCATAAATACATTCTTATGGCAAGCCATTTTACCATTTACCATCTAACCTCATGGAGAATAATATAATAAAAATTAAAAAATAACTACTGCAAAGGTTTATATTGAATTTTAATTCAGTGAATTATTTTTGAATAGGTGTACAAATATTATAATTTTTATTTGAATCTTATTTGAATCAATTGTTTCCCTACATACAGTGTGACCCATTTGTTTGCGACTCACCCCTGTAAAATCTTTATTTATTGAGCTATTTTAACCGGATTTGTTTTAAAGTGTAGATCTTGATAAACTGTATTTTTGGAGCAAAAGACGCCATATTCGTACAAAATACAAGGCCTACTATGTCAGTTTTTAAGACCCCATATGAGCGATTTTTTTAAACAAAATCTAAGCACGGCACTATACTAAATTTTAAGAAAAAAAATGCACAATATTTATTTATTTTGTCAAGTTTGCCATGAAAAAACATTGAAATAAAATTAAACTAACCAGTAACATGGTACTTTTTTAAGTTCAATTTTATTTCAATGTTTTTTTCATGGATAAATTTTTATAGTTATTGTTACTGTACATTTTTTTCCAAAAATTTTCTTTTTAAGGTTATAAATCTATTTATTTTAATAAGTATCTGTTAAACCAGTTCGGAACTGGCAGTTCCTAAATAAAAGAATTTATGAGCATATATGCGGCCTTTGATTCAAAATGATCTCATTGATAATTAAATTACATTTTGGGTTCAGTTTAGTCCCAATTTTAACGTTTAGGAAATGTTTTGCGATTGCGGCGTTGCCAAATTAACATTATGCACATAATTTTAATTCAATTAAAATTATGTATCTATACTTTAGTATAATAATAAAACTATGGTATAATTTTAATTTAATCAAAATGATGTATGGTATAATTTTAGTTATGTGAATTAAAATTATGTGAGTATAATTTTAATTCAGGAATTAAAATTTTATGTGCAAAATTTTAATTCAAATAATTAAAATTATACCATACATAATTTTAATTGAATTCAAATTATTTACAAATCATTTTAGTATGCCCATTTAAAATTTCACTCTACATAATTTTAAATCTCGAATTAAAATTATATTATGACATAATTTTAATTCTATAAATTAACATAATTAACATATTCTACATCGTTTTAAATAGTTGAATTAATATTACTATATAAAAAACATTGCATCTTAAAATAAATTCAAATATTTAAAATATTTGTGCCCTATTAAAAAATAATTCATTGAATTAAATGAACATTAACAACTTTGCAATATCTAGTTATTTCTTGTAACATTTTTTCTTCATGCAGTTTTCTAATAATTTTTAACAATGAATTTAACATGTGCAAGGCAGGTATTGTTTCGAAAAAAATTATTTAATTGTGATAACGTATCATAAAAATTTAACCTATTTATTTAAAGATAAAAAATATGTAGTCAAATTAAAAATAAATTAAAATTAATTTCACAAAGTTGGCAATCCATTTTACTATTTAATAGATTTTAAATTAAATTTGTTTACAACTAAGTTTTAAATAATCCATTATTCTTCAAATAAGGTTAATCATTAGCCCAATTCTTTTTTAATTGTATAAAAATGGTACATTAAATAGTAAGATTGCTTCCATACATGCCTTGATATTTTATTTATTCATTTAAAAGATTCTTAAAACTGTATATTTTAGAAATATAATTTTAAATAGTGAATAAACCGAAAAACCTTCATATTTATAAATGATAACTTGAAATGAATGCTATGACTTTGTAGTACCCAAAAAACCAAATTAGTTAGTACTTAATGTCAAGAAGCTACCGTCTGTTAATCGTGCAACATGCAAAATTATAAACCACATATTTACCTGTTTTCTTGGTTTAAGTTTAGCCTTCCACTCTCTCAAATCCTTGGTGAAAGCCTCGTCGCGTTGCTTTAATTTTAAAGTTTCGTGTTCCAAAAGCATTTTCCGCTTTTCATTTTGCAACTGTTCCAATTCTTTGATTGTCGCATCGCTTAAAGCTCTCAACTCCTCTAACTGTCTTTGATGCTTGAGTTCGAACCTTCGCTGTTCGGCTTGATACCGCTTTTTCTCGTTTTCTTGGAACTAAAAAAATGTAAATATAAATAAATATGATTATTAGATATCTACAGGGTGCACCAAGTATTCTATGGGTAGGTTTTTTTATTTAAAGAGCTACAAGGTCGGTTATATCGGAGAAAAGTTGCCTAATTACAAGCCTATTAAAATGAAAATATGTTTTGCATGTAAACATTCACCTTTATCTTTATTTTCATCCAATTTATTTTGCTCAATTAGTCTTTGTTTTGAAGATATTGTAAAAAAACTGTTTTTTTATATGCAACATTCAAATTATATATATATATATATATATATTTTAATCGAATACTTTAACCAAGGATCATTCATGAAGCTATGTGTCATAATTTAACTAAAAATAAATAAATTATACACATTTATAAAATATGCCCTTAAGAACCCTGTTTTTAACGAAATAAAATCGCTTTTTTAGTAAAAATTCGACAATTTTTAAAGTTAAAAGTGCTTTTTCGCGGCCAATTTTTGTCTGATTTTAATAAAAGTCAAGATCATTTCTGGTGATACAGTAAACTTCCTCTTAAGTTAATTTGTCATCTGATATGTTAAACTGTTTGAGTTAGAGGGAGTTCAAGAGAGCAAAGGAAATTATGTACCTATTTAAAAGTACCACAGGGTGTTAAGTAAAAAAAATTAAAAACGCTTGCACATCAATTTTTTAATTTATTTTAATCTTAAATATAAATTTTGACACGCGCGGTTATTTTGGGTGCTATTTTGGAAATTTTAATTTAATACAATAAAGTAGATAAATAAAGCTACACAATTTTGAAAATTGAAGAATTTTTGCCAAAAAAGCGATTTTATTTCGTTAAAAATAGGTTAAGACTTGTGAAAGTGTATAATTTTGATTGAGTGAAATTAGGACTCATAGCTACATGACAACTCATCCTTGGATGAAGTATTGAGCAAAATGATAATCATTTTTGGAAACAGTGCACGCAAATTACCCAAGAAAAGTTGTTGGCTCCCCTGTGGAAAACAAAAAAATTCATTTTGTCGACCAGTGTATTTTGAGTTACTATTACAATCTTTTGTTGTATGGCCATCATAATTTATGTAGTAAGTTTAATACATTGTTGAATTTCTTCTAACCACAGAAAATTTCAATATGGTAAAAGATGGTGGTGGTAACTAAAAAACTAGTGGGCAAAATCATAAATTGGATAAAAAACATACTTTTTTCAAAATTCTCAGGAATAACGAAGTTCTAACGATTTCGATAGGTTTTTTTTTTTAATTATTTAAGAATCGCAGATTTTTAAATGCTATTTTGATAGACTTGTAATTACACAACTTTTCTCCAACTTAACTTTGTAGGTCTTCAAATAAAAATATACATACAAAATACATAGGATACTTGGTGCACCCTGTAATATAAGTTTAATACCTCTTTGAATTTGTTCTTCTCAGCATCAGGATCATTACTAACAGCCACGGAAATCCTCAATGATTCTCTAAACATAAGTTCCCTGGCTTTCATCTCCTGCCTGATTCTCTTGGGTAGCGACCTTCGTTCAGTGGCTTGCTTCTTAAGCAAGTCCTCTTCCTTTCTAACCGCTCGTCGTTTAATCTGCTCTTTTTCTTTTTCGTGCCTTGTAAGCATTTGATGTCTTTGTAGAATAAATATCTCCTTGATTTGTCGCTTCATCAGTTGATGCTTCTCATGAATTTGCTTCTCCTCGATTTCCCAGAGTGCAGCTTCGCGCGATCTCGTCAACTGTTGTTTCTGCTGCAGGAATTGCCGCTCCATCAGCGCCATCTTTTCTCTGTGACTGTCGCTAAGCCGACGCAAAGTGCTCTCGTGCGTTTCGTTGAGCTTGTCGACGAACGCCTTCTCTTTTTCCGCGTGTTCCTGCTCCATTTTCTCTTTGCGAATCTTGAACTCGTTCTTTCGTCGCTCTTTCGGCAACATGTCCACTTCGGCTTTGAGCAATCGAAGCTCCTGTTTCAGGGTGTCGCGGAACTGTTTCAGCTCGCGTTCTTGATCCGCGCGAATTCTCTTCGAGGTTGCACGCAGATCGCCGTCTTGTTGGGCCTCGGACCGTTCGATTTGTAGCCGCTGTTGCCGGCTCAGGCTCTCCAAATCGTTTTCGAACGTCCTGTCGAGTTGAAGTTTTTCTTGTTCGAATTTCCTTTCTTGTTGGTCGAGCGAGATGCTCTCCTTGCTGGTTAAATCTTGAAATTGTTTTTGTTCTTGCTTCTGCAGGTATTTCAGCTCCCGCAATTCCAATTTACGATCGGTTCCGTTGTAGTTTTCTTCGTCGCAAATGACCTTGTATGTCGTTGTCGTAATCATTATGCCGTCCTTCTCGAAGCGTCTTGTGCGTTTTCGGGTTTTCCTATTCATGGCAGCTGTTGCGTCAATTTTGGATTTCGGGGCTTTGCGCAACACGACAACGTTATCTTCCGTTTCTTCCAGTTCGTTCTTCGTGGTTTTGCCGGTGCTGCCGTGGCTCTCGTGGCTCGCGATCGATATGCTTTCCACATCGGATTGCTGCTCGACGCTTTTGGCGCCCGAACGCGGCCTCCTGTGTGAATCCGTACTGCGCACCGAGCCGCAATCGCTGTGCGATCTATCAGACATCGCCGATTCAAAGCTATCCGGATAAATCTTACCATTAAGGCTCTTCCTGCATATTTCCTCTCCGCTACCTCCGGAATGTATCACTTGGCCATTCGTTTTGTGTTTGTTGTTAAAGTTATCCTGGACAGAGTCCAAAATGATCATGTTGCCTCTGATTTCGTCTCCGAAATCGCTCTTTGTGCTGCCACTTTTACCCGAGGAGGTGTTCGATAGATCGCTGGTGGAACTGCGGAAGTTGTATGACGTAGAGTCCTTTACTTGCACCTTTTCCGCGCCAATTTTCACTACAGATACGTGACTGGTGTCCAGTAATCCGGAATTGTCGTCCGATATGTCCAACCCGGAGTCGTTGACGACGTACGGCGGATTCGAATCGACGATTAGCACTTCGCTTTCGTCGAGTTTCTTGACTTTCGGCGGATTGTCGCGGAACTCGCTTGGAGGCGGATAGTCGAGGGAATCCGGAGACGGACAGAACTCATCATCGGACGATTCCAAATGCGTTTTGTTGGTGGAGTTCGAAAGAATGACCACTTCGTTCGCACTGTTGTTTGACGGTGATGCGGACGAGGTTCTGGACAAGCACTGCGTGTTATCGATTAAGACTGGTGGATGCGTTGTTACCACAGTCACCTGACTTATGTTGGATGCAAGACTATTTGACGGATCACCAGGATCGGAATTGATCGTAATCGTGGACGTATTTAGTTTAGTCTGTCTTTCGGCAGTTGGCGTCGACACAACAATCAAACTCAAGCTTTCTTCGGGCGTCGTAGTATGCGATGAGCTTATTGTCACACTTTCCTTTTCTTCGGTCGAATTTTGCCTCGTCAATTGCTTTTCCAAAGCCTGCTTGATCTCCCTTATCCTGGATGAGGATCTCACTTCGTCCGTCGCGTCCCGCGGTTTTTCCTCTTGTTTCTTTTCGAGCGCGGCAGGTTTCGGACTAGATTGTTGAGGCGGCGTCGGCGGCGGACTAATCGGTGAGGATGGCGGCGTGGGAAGCGCGGGGACAACTACGGCGGCGGCGACCACCGGTGGCGGTGGCGCCGGACCTTTTTCTTTTTCATTTGAACCGCTCGACAGTTGGGTCTGCAACGGCGGCAGAGGAGCCGGTCCTTTGTCACGCGACGTTTTTCTATGCACCTCCTCTTTCTTCTCAACCTGTACCATAATTAAATGTTTTAATATTATACTTATCATTTTTTCTTAATATTTTACTCATATAGCACTTATTGCAGAACAGTCTGCCTTAACCTTTTAAGATCCTAGCAGTTATAATAATTATTTTTATTATTATTGATTTTAAACATAATACAGGGTGGGGTACAGGATCCAACTGGTTTTAGAAACAATCATAAAAACTGTAATTTTTGATCACAAAAAGTACATTGTTAGAATATTTGTTGAAAAATAGCATTGAACATACAATTTGTGAGAAAAAATTATATCTGGCATTTTATGGCATAATTATAAAAAAATAAATGCTAGAACAATATTTGCCGACCGCCTTATTTTGCAATAAGGTGACGTGTTATGGCTAGGGATTATGTTTTCTCGACATTTTATAATTCTCGGGAGTCGAGACTCGCCATTATTTAATTCTCGAACCCAATCTTTGGATATTTTTTTTTAGTTCTTAAAAAAATATTTTTTTTCTATTGAATTTTTTAAATAAAATGCCACTAAAACTTATTTTATTTGAGGACCCTAGAAGCCAAGGGATACAAGTGACATTTAAAAAAACATGTAGTTATGTACAGAAAAGGATAGTAAATGGTACATTTTACTTGGTATCCAAGGGTTATCTGAATTTTAAGCTTAGACATATTGAAAAACTAAGTCATAAAACAACAAACAATCTTGACTCTAAATTACAACTGTTTTTTTACATTAAACTTGATTATTTCAAAACTAAACAAAATGTACTTATACCCTTGGCTTCTAGGGTCCTCATTTGTAATTGTAAGTTAGTTTCAGAAAGTAACAAAGTAGGACACAAAACTGAAACTAACAAACCAAGACCACAAACCGCAAATAAATATAAAGCAACTCATAAAAAAAGGTATTTTTTTTAAAACAAAATTAAAACAAAAATTAAAAAACGTTAGTCATCATCACAAAAAACAAAATGCACACATATGCACTTTTTGTCAAAGATAAAAATTATTAAAAACTTCAAACATTTAATTTAAGTATTACAGAACCAGAAGAATGATATAAAGTACAAAAAAATTCGTTTTTAAGGAATAAATAATCTGGTCATTTCTGAGTTCAGTCTTTAGTAAGTTCTCCATCTCCTCTTTTCTAATAATTTCAGAAAAACAAGGACATTTTTTTATGCCTTCAAAAGCCAGGCTATATGTAATGAAATTACGGTGGAGCAGTCCGCGACCATAATTGAAAATATTTAAAAGTGTGTTATAGTTGTCGCGGCGAATGTTTAAAATTGCGTCATCAAATTCTGAACCAAGCACAGACATTACAATTATTGTTGTTTTCTTTTACGTATATAATCCAAGCCACCGCTAGGTTAACCGTATGTCGAGATATCGGTTTTTGACATTCGACATTGATGACGCAATTTGAAACATTCGCCGCGACGACTATAGCAAAGGTATTGAGTACATAGAACAGTTTGAAAAAAAATTGAATATAAATGTTACTGTTTTAATAGTTCTTTGTAACATGATAGTACATTTTTATTCACTTATAAAGCAACTTAATGCAGCGATACAAAATCCTGAGAACTTTTATCGCACCCTGTATAGGTATAAGCAGGAAATTATAATATTCTAATAATGTTTTGTTAAACAATTTACAAATTTTTAAGATTTTTAAAATTGAGCGAGATATTGCCCCTTTCAGTCATTTAAATCTTGATAGTGTGCGATAAAATAATATTAAAATCGGACTCGTTTACAAAATAAGTGTTTGCAAAGATTACTAAATTATAAATAAATACCTTTTTCTCTTCTGTTCCACTTAGGGGTTCTGTAGTTTCGTCAGTTGAAGGCTTGGGTTTAATAGTGTCATCTTTTTCTAAACTTAACCTTTCAGGTTCACTTGCTAAAATTTAAAAAAAAAATGTCATTTTTTTGCAAAATCGTATTTTCCTAAAATTTACCCTTGCTATCAACTTCATTGCTCCTAACTGAAGTAGAGTCATCTTCTATGTCCAGAGGAGCTTGAGAGGTGCGATTGTCCTAAATAAAGTACATTGTTTTAGTTGGATCAGATAAAATACAAATGTTTCTCAAAATCAATACAATAAAAACAAGTATTCTATTAAGTAGCCAGTACCTACATGTCTTTACAGCAGGGAAGCTAGCAATGAATTTTGTGAATTTGATAATATATTATGTTTATTTCTAATATTTTTATGGCATGCAGAAAAACAATAACAAAAAATTATTTCAGTAGAAAACAAGCATTTTTGCAATGTATACAGGGTGATTCACCTAACTTATTCATTAGAAGTTTATGGAGAACGGAAAAAGATATCGATTTGAAATTTGTATAGCAATTATAAGCCAATCTAAACTACTTTTTAAAATTATTTTCAATGCGTTATCACTTCCGGTTAAACCGGAAGTTATATCAACTTTGGTTTTTCAAATGGAACCATATAAATATTATTGCATTTTTGAATTCTACGTAAAATTCTAGAAATAATAAAATTTGATTATTTTTTTTATTTTTAACAGTTTTTGAAATATTTCATTTTTTTTTAAATTTTGACAGATGGATTGTCTTACTAATATGTCTGTATTACCACTAATTGTAATGTTAAAAAGTTAATTTTTGGTGTAACAATTAACTAAGGAGCACTCTATCGAAAGCCATTAATAGTATTTGAAAATTTTATACAGGGTGTCCGGTATTTACGTTGACTTTTTTGTCACTTAAAATACCAATAACTTTTTTTCAAATGAAACTACCATACAATTTTCATATTATTGGACACAAAATAATGTTTTCTATTGAAATGCTGCAGCATTCCCTATACCTAAAATCAATATTTACAGAGATATTACAAAAAATGTGAAAAAACCGCTTATTTTTTTATTTCTAATATGAGTAGTGTGCGTTGGATTGTCTTTTATTTCGTATTTATGAAGTAATGTCAATGTCAACGTCTTTGACAATTGTGTTACAATGGATGATAATAATTACACTAATCAAGATATTCTAAACATGTTTTATACATATGGCGAGTGCGGAAAAGTTTTAGAAAGGACAATAAGAACTTTTAATGAGAGGTATCCCAATTTAACCCCACTCACCAAAATTAAATTCCGGGCGATAGATAATAGATTTATTAATCATGGCGCAGTAAAAGTAAAACGAAATAGGCAAAAACTGGTGACAGGCAACGAATATAATCAAATCAACGTCTTGGGATTTTTAAATGCAGAGCCCCAAGGGTCTATCAGAGGAGTTGAAGCTGCCCTTGGCATTCCGTATACATCTGCCCAGCGGATACTTAAGAATACTGGAATGCACAACTACAAGTTCCTAAAAGTGCAAGGCCTTGAAGATGCAGATTTTCAAAGAAGGGAGCGGTTTTGCACGGAGTTTCTGGGCAAAGTTGATGAAGATAACTCTTTTCTGGGAAAACTTATATGGACAGACGAAGCCAAATTTTCCAGAGAAGGCATTGTTAATTCAAGAAATCAACACTTTTGGTGTGCTGAAAATCCACATGTGGTCCGGCAAGGGAATTTCCAAAAAAAAATTAGTTTTAGGTCACCGGACCTAACACCTCTAGATTTTTATCTTTGGGGTGTTATAAAAGCTAAAGTTTATCAAACACCCAGCAACAGCAAAGAATCTCTTGCTCAGAAAGTGAGACAAGCGTTTTCGGAATTGTCCCATGAAGAAATTTTGAGAACAACTTCTGAAGGTGTCTTGCGACGTATCAATATGTGTCGTGAACAACACGGGCGATACATTGAACAATTACTTTAGATTTGTTTTATTTGTTACATTTGTTTATTTTTTCAATATAATTTTTGAATTTTAAATTGATATTTTTTTTAACGTTGTTTAATACGAAATAAAAACAATCCAACGCACAATACTGATTATACACATTAAAAGTTCCTATTGTTCTTTCTAAAACTTTTCTTTTTTGATTAGTGTAATTATTATCATCCATTGTAACTCAATTGTCAGAGACGTTGACATTGACATTACTTCATAAATACGAAATAAAAGACAATCCAACGCACACTACTCATATTAAAAATAAAAAAATAAGCGGTTTTTTCACATTTTTTGTAATATCTCTGTAAATATTGATTTTAGGTATAGGGAATGCTGCAGCATTTCAATAGAAAACATTATTTTGTGTCCAATAATATGAAAATTGTATGGTAGTTTCATTTGAAATAAGAAAGTTATTGGTATTTTAAGTGATAAAAAAGTCAACGTGAATTCCGGACACCCTGTATAAAATTTTCAAATACTATTAATGGCTTTCGATAGAGTGCTCCTTAGTTAATTGTTACACCAAAAATTAACTTTTTAACATTACAATTAGTGGTAATACAGACATATTAGTAAGACAATCCATCTGTCAAATTTTTAAAAAAAAATTAAATATCTCAAAAACTGTTAAAAATAAAAAAAATAATAAAATTTTAGTATTTCTAGAATTTTACGTAGAATTCAAAAATGCAATAATATTTATATGGTTCCATTTGAAAAACCAAAGTTGATAACACTTCCGGTTTAACCGGAAGTGATAACCCATTGAAAATAATTTTAAAAAGTAGTTTACATTGGCTTATAATTGCTATACAAATTTCAAATCGATATCTTTTTTCGTTCTCCATAAACTTCTAATGAATAAGTTAGGTGAATCACCCTGTATATGTATATTTAAAAAATTACTTAAATATACACTTAATTTTTTAATATACAAATTAAGTGATTTATTAAATTTAAAAAATATTTACTTTATTATCTAGAATAAATATAAATTTAATTTACAATTGCTTAAAATAGTTCCTTGAGAAACAAGTGGTTAGATAAAAATAGTATGAAAGATGACAAAATAATTTAAATTGACGCAAAAACTTGATAAAAATTTACCACAAATGAGTCAAAAACGAGACAACCAAAACCAACGTTGGTTTAAATTAAAAGCTGGCCATAGACTAGCATGCATGAGTTTTATTCATGTAAACACAACCAAACTTACATGTAATTACGAGAAACAGTATTTCACTTGAATAAAACTGAATTAAAAATAAAAGTAGTTTATTCAAACCAATTTTATTACAAATATAAAGACCAAATTATCAAAACAAATTTTTTAGATAACAAATAACCTCGCAAATAACAAAAAATGTTAGTTTCTCTGAGAATAAACTTTACAGTAAATTAGAATTTAAGAAATAATAGGTTTTTGTTTCAATATAAAATTTGTTTTAATGTTTTTTATTTATTTTTGTTATAAAATTAGTTCGGATAAACTGCTTTTATTTTTAAATCCCTCTTTTCAAGTGAAAAATAGTTTCTTGTAATTACTGGGTGATTCCATATAAAATAAATATAAGTTTGGTTGTGTGTATATCATACATTCTTGCGCGTTGATGTTTGAAAGTGTTGTTTCTAATTATAATAGCCCCGAAGCGAACGAATAATTTTTATTTGGAAGAATTTTTTTTTTTTTGAGCGGAAAACACAATTTTTATCCCCTGGAAAATCAATATTTTGCAAAACCCTTTGTTCACCAATGGGGCAATACTACAAGGTGGGGCAAAAGTAATGTCATAGTGTGAATGTGCCATAACTTTTGCAACTGTCAATGTCCCCAATTGGGGGAAAAACCTGTTTAATTCTGTTTTTCCCAGGCCTTGAAAAAATTGTGTTTTTTGGGATAAATTGAATTTTTCTTTGGAAAATATACACATTTGAAAAAAGTAGCAAACAACAACTTAACATTATTTTAATTTAAAAAAATTATCGTTTGTTACAGAAAAAAAAACTAAATATTGAATTAAATCAAATTGATTTAAGAATTTTCTTATTTTAATAAACATAAACGTTAAATATACTGTCTTTGGGTCTTTTTTGCAAAAAGGAGTCCATTGAAAATATCCAATTACAAAATAATAAATGAATTTATAGTTAAATTACAAAATTATAATTTAATAAATCGAAGTGTCAAATAAAACAAAAGTTGTGTATAAACAGCTATAAAACATATGTTTTTTTTTTGCAGCCCGGTAGAATATTCTTACTGAATTAAAATAAAACGAATAATTATTATAATCATAATATTATGATTATAATCATATCAGTGTACGGATATTATCCGTAAAATTGGGAAGTTTTTAGAAAAATTGATTTTTGCATTACCCTTTGAATAAAATGAAAAAAAGTCATTTTTTCTGAAAATTTCTTAATTTTTCCGTTTTTCAATTTTTAACAAAATGTCAGCCAATTCACATTATGACATCCATCTTGCAAGGTGGGGCAAGCCTGAAATATCGAAAATACATTTATTGGTAATTTTTTTAAATAAAATTCGGTTGAGACCTTTTTGATATATATTTCATGCTCACCGCAAACGTTTGAAGAAAAAAAGGGGTCTCGGGGCAAGTGCAGTAGTTTCCTTAATTTTCTAACATTTCACATGAAATTTATGAATGTATGCTAGTCTATGGCCGCTATAAAGCAGGAAGCCTTGATTCATAATTTTATTCATAATGATTAATAGTATTTGATGGGTCCAAAATCATGGCAATTCAGAATTTTTTTTTATCTAAATAAACTAAAGCTATTATGGGTTATGACGTGTATACATAAGTATAATAAACTAAAGATAGTAAATTATATTATAATAATAAATATTTCACAGTTGTATTTCTATTGCTTATGATGTGTTGAACTATCTTTTTTTAAAATTTCTTTTCAGTTTTTTACGTCTTCAGGTAGTTTGTTATATAATCTAACTCCCTCTAATGCCAATCTTTTCTCTCCAATTAAAGAAAGCATTAAAGATCGAACAATAACATTTTTCATTTAGATATTTAAATACAAATAAATAATTTTTTAAACCTAGAAAAGCGATAGATGATTTATATATGGGGCGCCGTTTTATATTTTATTAAGAAATTATTCTTATGTTTTAACACTAAAGTGATATTTTCAATTAGATAAAAAATAACATATAGTAATTTTTATTCTGCGAATTAAAAATATCATTATAGATATTTAAAAATTTAATTTAATTTTTATGCCAAACTGATATTTTTAATTAGAGAATTTAAAATATTTGTTTCTTATGTTTGTATTTTTTAGTTAAACACATATTTTTAATTCGCTAAATTAAAAATATCATAGGATATATTTTTAAATAATTTTTTTTTTTTAAATAAGCAGATATTTTTAATTGAATGTGATATTTTTAATTCAGATTGAAAGTTTGGACACCTCTGGTATTCCAAACTAATTCTGTCGCTAGATGGTGGCACAATCACTGGGATCTACGACGTAAGTAAGTCCAATGTCGCATTGATCCAGCGTGTGCTGAACAAGGACAGTGCACATTAGTTTTTTAAGTGGGTCGGTTTTTGTGGCGTTTGGAATAACAGGGGTATCCAAACTCTCAATCAGTTGAAATTAAAAATACACCATTCAATTAAATTATATGCGTATTTAATAAAATATCCTATGATATTTTAATTTAGCGAATTAAAAATATGTGTTTAGCAAGTATTTTAAATTGTTTGGCATAAACGTTAAAATAAATTTTTAAGGGTTAAGCAAATTAAGAATGTGTGTTTAATAAAAAAATACAAATAAAAGAGATATGTTAAATTCACTAAATTAAAAATATCAGTTTGGCATAAAAATTAAATCTAATTTTAAAATATCTGCTATGATATTATTAATTATGTAATATTTTTTATCTAATTAAAAATATCACCCTATAGGGTTAACACAAAATTAGTTCCCGAATAAAAAATAAAACGGCGCCCCATATTTATATGACCAGTCATGAAAACAAAAAGTTTTTAATCTATAGATGTATTTTGCATAAAGTTGATTGGAATATTTAAATAAAAAAAATTCCACGAAAACAAATTGTACAAGTAGTGTTACAGTAATTCTAGTCTGGTCAAAAAAACAAGTCAAATTTTTGATAATTTCTGGACGTGGTACTTTCTTCATCCTCGTTTAAATAAAATATCGGCTTTTCTCAGACCTTACTACTTACTTAAAAAATGGATTATTTTTTATTGTTCTTTAATATATAATGGTTTCTTAAAGAAACTTTTTTTTCTAAATACATCTGTAACTTGCCTTGTATTTTGACCCAAGAAAGTAGAAACTTCACATAAGTTTTCCAACTTCTCACAAGTAGGAGAGACTCTCACCTGAACAAGCATGCCAGGAGAAGGAGGACCCGGTGAGCCGCATGCATAACGAATAAGCCGTGATAACGTCAATTTTGCATTAATACATGATTTTTTGTACAAGAACTACCGGCTTGTAATTAAGAATTTAGCGGTAGGAATGCAAGCTGTACTACTTGTAAAGGGCTAATAAAAGCTAATTTTACCTACTGGTTAATTATATGAGTATACCTATTAAAACAATTATAAAATAGCAATAAAATCTTGTACTTGCAATAAATTCTAATGGTATTTGTTTAACATTTCAAAGATATTAATTTGTTATGCAAATAAGGTAATTCTTGTACATTGTAAAGTATTTAAATAACATATAAACTACAATCGACATTTTAATACAAGATTTTCCACTGTAGACTTACCAATTCTCTGATAAAGTTCTTTATGTTTTCGATGTTTCCTACCCCGCTAAGCATGAAATTATGAAGAAAAGCGGTATTTGTATATTTTTACAACGTGAGATAAATAATAACGTATTTGATGCAATTAAAATTATTATTTCCACGTAATTAAACGCTGTCCATACATTCTATTAGCATATTAAAGCAAAGAAGGTATTTGTTAACGTTTTTAAGTAACTAAACAAACATAGATTACAAATTAAGGCAAACCAATGTAAATATTAGGTAAAACGTACTAAATCGTATAGCAAACATTTAATAAATGATTTTTCAGTAGAACGAATTCTTACCTCTGGGTCGTCGTCAGTCAATTCTTCTTCCACAACTTCAGCCTTATACTCTAGAAGCAGATCTCGAATCGGTTTTGAATCTAACGTACAATTTATAAAGGGATGCTTAAGTAGATCATCACAGGTCGGTCGCCTTTGCGGGTCTTTTATTAAAGCTTTTGCTATGAAGTCGATAAATTCCTATAGAAGAAAAAAATAATAACCTTTTAACTATAAATAAAAACAAGCTAACAATGTTATTTTTTAGTTTTTTTAATAAGTAAACAACTTTTCTGTAACTAACTATCTGTAAAGTTATGTCATATTACAAAGGCCATAATCTGTTAACATGTAATTATATGTTTAATAACTCTTTACTAGAACGTTCTTTGATCATAAATTAACTTTTGATAGGCATATAAGCAGTGGCGTAGCGACAAATTTCGGGCCCCCCCGCGAAAATCCTTACTGGGTCCCCTGATTTCAGGTATTTTTTACATGGTTTTATATTGTAAATAAAAAATAATACATCCGGTGACATGATTTTTTAAATTATTTACAAACGAAAAGTAACAAAAAAATAATTTAAAAAAAAAGGTTCTCCACTGTACCTACTTATAAATTATAAGTAAAATAATAGAAAATAATAACATATTTTTTAACATAAAAAAATAACCTTAAACTATAATAATTTTATCAGGCATCCTTGAATAATATTATGTACCTACTCTATTAAATAGATACTTGCCCCAAAACATTAAAATACTTATTTCCATCTTACTTATACTAAAAATTGAATAATAAATTTTATTTCTGTGATTTATTGTGTTAGAAAAACAGTGCCTATTTAGGCACTATTTAGACACAATAAATCTCAGAAATAAATAGAGTACTTAATATTATTCTATTTTTAGTATAAGTAAGATGGAAATAAGTATTTTAATGTTTTGGGGCAAGTATCGGCCGGGCCCCCTACGAGGTTAGGGCCCCCCGCTTGGCGGGCGTTCGCGGTACTGTCGCTACGCCACTGCATATAAGTAATATACCTAGTTCTTCCTTAAAAATGTTGGGATTTATTATAAGCAATTCTGACACATTCAATAATGTATAAAGGCATTACAAAATTTGTATTATTTGTTTGTTTGTTCAAGGCTCGAATATTGCAGCTTGATTTGGTACCCAATTTACAGAACCTACAAAGTTTCATTGGAAAATATTCAAAGACGATTCCTGAAATTTTTAAACTTTTGAATTAATTGTTTTTATCCTATCAGAGGTCATCCTCAGGCTGAATTACTTTGGGCCTTTTCAATAGACTCACTTGAATTACGTAGAGTTAAGTTTAACTAAACAGACCAAGTTGCAGACAACCCAGTTGATGGTTATAAAACTATAAAATATACAGGGTAACGAAAGGTTGTCGAAAAATTTATCAGGTGGTAGAACTTGTTAAAATGTTATGTGGTGTTTAAAATTGAAAAATAATGTCTGCATAGTAATTGTTTTACTAGAATACTGTGCGTCTAATTAAGACAAGACACCTGTTTCTAGGTTAATATGGTGCGAATGTTAAATACGCTGTTAATTGTTTTATATCCAGTAAAAGGGTTTAAACTTTCAACGAAATTGGTTATCTATGTATATACTTCAATCGTAAGTCTTGACACCTCTCCAAGGTGTTAGAATTTTGAATCGAGTTTGTCACACGAGCCGAAGGCGAGTTTGACGGTTTCACGAGAGCGGATTATGCAACATGTTTCAGACTATACTACGTTTCCAAAGAATACCATAGACAAATAATTTTATTGGAAGAAAGTGAGGTTGGATCGGTCTAAAATTTGTTAGATATTAAAAACAGAGATTTCGCCACGAGTGTATTCTGTCATCAGAATATTTCATTCTGTAACACTTTACGGAATAAATGTCATTCCATAGATAAAAGTGATATTAGAACGGTCATATTCCATAATAGGAGTAGAAAAAAATATTTAATGACTCATATGCGTAGTTTCCAAATATGCAATAAAAAATTGCATGAACGAATTCCATTCAAAAATCATAAAAATAAGACTTTACAACTATATAACTTTTTATCCATTATTAATACAATAAAATTGTAGGCAATTAAATTTACTACAAACTAAAGGGTGTCTCAATAGGAACGCCGGATTTAAATTTCGACATGTTACTATTTTTGGCAAAGTGCAAACTTGAAAATATGATTTCTGTAGTGTAAAAACATTCCAATTTTATAAGTCATGAAGCGGCATTCTCTAGAACAACGTGTTACTATTCTCAAGAATCATTATAAATATGGAGAATTCTGTGCAGAAACCGTTCGAAAGTAACGTCAAATTTTTAGTCGTGCAAATGGTCCAAATGAGAGAACAGTGCGAAGGTTAGTGATTAAAATTTGAAGAAAGTGGTTCGTTTGGCGACATAAAAATACCTGTGCTTCGTCGTATTAGCCGATCTGCTGCAAATAATGCAGCAGTACGAAAAATTGTTAACGAAAATCCTGGAACCTCGATTTGTCATCGTTTCCAACAAGTTGCTATTTCGAGGAGCAGTTTACAGCAAATTTTAACAAAGACCTTCATTTGCATCCATACAAAATTCAATTAACACAAGAGCTAATCCCAGTAGTTCATGCAATGCGCCGGGAGTTTGTTAATTGGATTCCGGCAAGAGGTTAAATTTGAAAGCGCACTTTCATCTCAGTGGCTATGTCAACAAACAAAATTGCAGAATTTGGGTAAACAAACCAGCAACAATTTATCAATTTAAAAACGATATTCGATGCGTTATTGACGAGATTCAGCAGCACATAAGAAATTCATTAAAAGAGGAAGGGTGTGCCAGGAAAGTAGTGGTAATGCGTTCTTTATGTCGAAATAAAAATAAAAATTATTTTCAAATTTGCAAGGTATTTGCAACATATCAAATCCTGCTTCAGGGCTGGCAAATATCATGATATTTATTTAAATATCCAAACATCTGATATATATCGAAATATCCAAATATCTGATATATATCGATATATCCGATATACATCAAAATTTGGACCGATTTGGATATTTATTTCTTTTTTTATTAAAACTATTTTAGAAATAAATAGATATTAGAGAATTAAAGATAAATGTTTAAAATTCAAAATTACTTAATTTAATATTATTTTAACATTATAACATGTAAATTTGTATTTCAATTATTTTCTATTCAAGTTGGTATCACAATAACAACAGGCGTTTATATGAAGAAAAAAATATTCTACTCAAGATTGTTTTATAAATTCGTTTAATGTAGGATTTAACAAAACTTTTGAACGTGACTGGGGACAACTACCTTAATATATTTCTTGAAATATTAATAAATCCTAAGAATTCATACTTTTTATTCGCCTATTTAAATATTTTTCTTACCTTAGACCATTTGGAGGGCTGTTCTAGCTTGGGAGGTTCGGATTTTTGAATTTTAAGTAGGACTCTTAGAGGGGACATTTCGTGATTAGGCGGTTCCGTTTGAGCCAGCTCAATCAGAGTGATGCCCATCGACCAGATGTCGACTTTGTAGTCGTAGGGATTGTCGCGAAACGTTTCGCACAAAACAACCTCGGGCGCCATCCAATACGGGGTGCCGATGAACGTGTCGTGCTTCTGCAGCGTGTTCTTGTTTTTGGCAGACACGCCAAAATCGGCTGAAAAAAATGTTTTGTGTTCTAAATATTGACAATCCTTACTTAACGGTAACGGTAAGTACATGATCTTAAATATAGAGTTTCTCCAGTAAATACATATCTGTAATGGTGTAGTACTTTTTACATTTTTAATTAATAAATAAAATATTATTCCTTATAAAAGTTTTATAGTGGGTTTGATGGTAAAACAATGAATTTTTAGAATACGCTAAAACATTTTTATATACCCATGTTTATTATCAACTTTTGAACCTTGTAAATTTGGTTTAATTGTAATACCCAGGTGCATATTACGATTTTTTTTGTCACTTTTAAATTTGTAAATTTATTTAATTTATTTCTAAGCTACAAGATCGATATGTTTAATTTTTTAATATGCTAACATATCGATTTAGATAATAATAAAGGAGAAAAATTTAAAAAAATACATATCAAAAAATTTAAATATGTACCCATTGAATTTTTCGGGAATATTCACAACATTCCGGAAATTTTCTCACCTATCGTACTATAGCGATATGATTAAAATGTAGTATGTATTATTTTGTTAAAATATTATTTTTAATTAATTACAATTAAAAGGATAAAAGAAGGTGTAGGAATATTAGTTCTACAACCTTAAGAGGTTAGTGAAGAATCGTAAAAAAGGCTAAAAGTTTACCAATTTGTATCAAATTTTAAAAAGTTCTTTGGATATATAACACAACTCGACTAAACAAAAACTTTTCATTGTCCTTGTTTTATTTTATGCTTTTTCTATTTATCATGCACCAAAATTATGGAAAAATATCCACATCCTCTTTAAAGTTTGTAGTGGTGGTACTTATACAATTTTTTGAGTTTTCATAATTTAAATAATTTTATCTAATCCTACATTGACAAGCTGTGACTTTATGGCGTTTTAGTCACGGGCTGAAGTTAGCACCAGTGGCTTTTGGGCATTTTAGTTACGGGCTGAAGTTAGCTTTATTATAAATTAAGAAAAAGTAAGGTTAAATCTGTTAAAAGTTGACCGATGTCAAATGTTTAACAAATAAAATTGGCTTTAAATTCTTCTTTGTGTTCGTCGTTTTTATTAAACACTCGCTCGTAAGCTTCGCTCGTGCCTAATAAAACTCGTAAATAAAATGGCGTTTATAAACCTTCATACATAATATTCTATTTGTGTATCCAAACAGTTAAAAATTTATTATTAAATTATTATATGTAGGTATACTTTTATTTATTCATAGCAGTTATAGGTATTTTTAAATTTTGTTTGTGTTTTCATCCTTTATCCAAATTGTTAAATTGCCATGGGTTGCAGGATGTCCCTTAAAGCCCATGCTGATTTAGATAAATTTAAAAACATAACAACATATGCAAAACGTTTCCATTATGGTGTTATGGACTAAAACGCCGTTAACAAGTACCTACACTATAATGAAAATATGATGGAAAACTATATTTGGGTTTTAACAAGAGAAAAAAACATAACTGAAAGAGTAAAGGACTTTTAAACCCTAACTAAAGAGTTAACCTACAATTTCAAAAAAATCAGATGAGCTGTTGGTGAGAAAATCAACATTAAAATTGTGACCAATTTCTGGTGGCCGTTTTTTTGCAGGTTAGTGTATTAGGTATTCATAATAGGAAGGAATGTTAATAAGAGTTAAGTTACCTAATTGTTTTCGAAATGACGTCATCATATTTAAGCTTTATTATATAGGTAAGTAGATATGTGGGCCTATCTCAAGCATCTGTTTACCTTGCGTGTGACTATCAATACAGAAATAAGGAATTTATATAAGAAACAAAGTAAAATTTAGTACACATTTTAAAAGATCTATTATGAACTGTTAATTAAAAATTAGATGTTAAAAAGACGAGGTTATACAGGTTTTACATAATTAGATGCACTTTTAGAAGTTAAAAGTACCTATATTTCATTGATAGTAAGTGATATAATTATATTAATGTTATCACGGTTATCAACTTATTTTTTGATTCATTTTTCAATATTTCAAGCTACAAGTTAAGTAATACAAACTAAAAATACCAATTTTATTGCCTTGCATTAATCATCAAATCATAAATTCGATCACCTCACATAATTTATTCCTGTCCTTAAATTATCATAACTTTATGATTTTATTTTTTATGATAAAAATCATTCTATGGGAAAAATGTGGGGCCAAATTTTACCTGCGATATCCATTAAATCTAAAACTAACAATTTTTTCGCAATACTTGAATATTATTTTATAAAATTACCTACTTCTTAAGTCAATTTTAAGATGCGTAGGTAAGTGTAAAATAATAATTAAAAAGAGTTTACCTCTATGTGAATAATGTTACAATAGTAAGTTTTTAGTAATTTTAATATATGTAAATAAAGAAGAAAAAGACTTGTACTCATCAATAATAATTTCCTAGCATGCCTGTTCAAGGTAAAATGTTTAAAAAATCCAATGATTAATAAACTGCTAACTATTCAATAGATAGTAGATACTAGATAGTATCATATGAGTGCCCTAAATTATGGTCTAAAGGTATATAATAATTTACGAATAATTATTGTAGATCTTATTTTATAATTAAGATTTATAATACCAAAATCAATTAGTATGCATTTTACGAAAAAATGTTTAAAATAAAAATTAAATGATTCGAAGGGGGTACTAGTACTAAAATTGGTCCTCATACTCTCCTCCGCATCGAACTCCCCTACCCCGTAAAAATGTTTTTTTCAAATATGTTTGTATCTGAATCTTAATCTGAATTTAAATCTGACAAAAAATGAAAAATAAGCAATTTTATTTGATTTAGTTTGTGACGTGACGTTACCGAGGGGGAGCCCGCTCAGGCGTGACAAATCGTAACTGTCCTTCGAACCAGCGTCACAAGATTTATGGACTATTCACTGTCTCAAATTTATTATTGTTGATATTTTAATAAGATGCTTAAATAAAAGCTTCATTTAGTATTTAATAGAAATGAAAAGTTTACCAGAAACTGGAATTTAAACCCTTTATTATTTAAATTTAAGAGCTTGCATCAATCGATATTTCAAACACTTTAGTTGACCATATGATTTAGCCTGCAATATTTAAACATCTTGTGCTTTGCTCGAGAGTTAAACTATCTGAGGTATTGAGACTTTTACTTATTAATTATGTATGGTTTGGCTCTTTAGGTGAGGACTGCGTATATTAAAAATAATAAATAAATACTATATACTTTTTTATATAAAATTAATTTTTCTTATCCTTTCCGATTTACCGTTTTAAGCACGCAATTCAGCCCCAATGCTACAACTTAAAACCCAGGGCTGCATTGCATGCTCAAAACGGTACATTGAAATCATCTATAAGTTAAGCAAAAATGCCTTATCTGCAATATTTAATATTGTAGATAAACCTTTTCCCTTAACAGTGCAGCTGCACTTAGAACCTTGTCATTCCAAAATAATGTATTGTCAATTGTTAAAATTTATTTGTTTGGTATTTTGGTACCGTAAACACGGGTGACTTTTCACCCCGCGGGTGACTTTAACCCATTTATGAAAAATCTTTTCGCGCTCGATAAAATTAACATTTATAATTTGTTGGTCTAAACCTGTCAATTGAGCGATTCTATGGAGTTTTTTTACAGGAAAATCAGTGTTTTAAAGAAAGAAATGGGATTTATTACACTTTAAAATTGTATATATCGCATCAGTGCAAAACTCTTAGAAATACACGCGTTACAATTTCTATATTATGCGCAATCCATTGGAATGATGATCCTTCGTTAACTACAGGTCGATTTTTTATTTTTTTTATTGGTAATCCCTTGCAATAGATACCTATATGTCGCTGCTAACACGTGTCTAATAAAAATAAAATATAATATTGAATTCATTTTATATGGAAAATACACTGTGAGACAAAGTAACCCGCAACCAGGGGGTAACTTTGCACACCCAGTTTTTAATTTTTATTTTTGAAACTCAGCCCTATGTAATATTATAACATAGTTATTATGAAAGAGCAACTCAAGACTCATATTTTGGTATACAAAATTTAATGTTTATGATTGTTAAAAACCACAAAAATTTTAAGCTGAAGTTTGAAAGTGAGCCAAAGCCACCCATGTTTACGGTAGTTAACAAAACATTTACCTGTATAACTAAATCAAATATTTGGTCTCATTAAAAAGCTCTTCATGCAAGTTATTTAAACAAATACAGAGAATATAAATGACAGTAACATTCACAATATGACATTTGGTAACTCTACTAATGATTTAATCCTATTTAAAATGATTATAAAATCATTAAAAACAGGGACTATAATAGTCCCTGTTTTTAATAATTTTATAATCATTTTAAAAGTGCCGAATTTGGTTTTTAAATTGGTCAATTTGACTTTAAATTAAAAATTACTTTACAATTTAACACGTTGACTGCGTCATCGGTCCCCGGGGACCGATGGCGCAACTGCGTTTCTATGCGGCTAGATATGTGCTTAAACTACTCATGGTGCGGGAGCTGTATCTTCGAAACGAAAACTTCTATTTTCGCATTAAATATGGCTTTTTGATCCTTAAGAGGTACAGAACTTTAACAAACGTCTAACCTTCCATCGGTCTCCGGAGACCGGTACCGCACTGGAGTAATATTTATTTCTAACATGCGTTATCGGTCCCCAGAGACCTATATTTGAATCAGCTGTTTTCTGTCAAATTTTGATTTTTTTAACAGTTTATCAGAAAATTGATATTTTGTGTTTGTAAGCAATATGTATATATATTTCTTAAGTAATAAATAACGTTGAAATAAAAAAGTTTTATTTGAAGCTAAAATAATTTTAAAAATGATATAGGTACTATCGCTAACAAAAAAAACTCATACAGCTTAAAAATCTAGTGTTCCTGATTTTCTATCATTTCGTTGGAGTAATTATGGCTTTTAACATGATACGTCACATTTGAAAGGTCTAAAATTAAATACAAAGTTAGGTTAAAGTTTGAAAAAAAAAAATATTTCGTCATGTTTTTGTCAATTACTGCCCGCAAACGGCAAAGCATGGAAGTCGCCGTCTTCGTCGCTCGTTCCAAATGGCTTCAATGGCTTGCCAGAGTTCGTCTGCATTGTTTGGTTGAAAATGTTGTTAAAAAAGTCATAATGGATGTGACAAAGCTCGATGTCAGCTTGACATCACAGAACATTGACGGAAAAGTTTTATTCACACAGCTACAATATAGCTGTATGAGTTTTTTTTGTTAGCGATAGTAACTAAATGTTAACCATCTTTCTGTGCGGTTACGGTCCCCGGAGACCGATGCTGACGATGTCACTTCTGTTGTGGGAATTGGTAAACAGAATCCTAAACAGAAAATACTGATATCATTCATAAATTTTGCGTCAGATGTCGCTTTATCTTTTTTAACATATCGGTCCCCAAGGACCGATACCGCACAGCAGACTTTACCAGCATCGGGCTCAGAAGACCGATACCGCACTTGAAAGATTAGGCTCAGTTTTAGCATCCGCATTCAACGTGTTAAATTAATTATAAAATTGGCCCTAAGGCCACCTTGTGCATATAAATAATATAAAATTAAAATATTGCTTACCCAATTTAACCCCTCCAGACATAGTAAGTAGAACATTTCCAGCCTTCAAGTCCCTATGGATGACATGTGATCTGTGAAGGAACTGCAAACCTTTGCACATATTTTGGCACACATAGGCAATTTGTAATTCATTTAAGGGTTTCTCTAACTCAGTCATAATACTGTCCAATGCTCCACCATCACAATACTCAATTAATAACCACAATTGTTGGTCCTTCTGAAAAGCTTCATGTAGCTCCACAACATTTGGATGCTTGAATTCTGTTAATATATCGATTTCCACCATGAAGTCGGAGAGATCATCCTCTTCATCCAATCTGCACATTTTGGCAGCTGCCAAATGTCCTGTGTGTTTGTGTTGGGCCTTATAGACTTTACCATAAGCACCATCACCCAGTTCACCAATCATATCCCAGAATTCTTCTGGATCTGCATCCATACGCACATTGTTGTATACTTTTTTCTTTTTTGCGTCGTTTCCACCAAAGTGGAGCACTTTTTTGATATTGTTGAAAAAAGACATTTTTAAAAATTAAGTTCAGCACCTCAATTAATTAGAAATCAATATAACACACTTCATGTTTACACTTATGAGTTAAGATTATAGATATCTTCCTGGGTCAAAGTAGTTTCTTCTCCTTTTCATGATTTCAGTTTAACCGCTAAAACTACCTGTAAGAAAATAAAGTTTATTTACTCTTAAGTTACAGGTACAATGTAAATATATGCATGTTTTAAAAGACAATTTCGATAAAAAAATTGTTGTCATATTTATCTTATCCTAACAAACACGGTAAAATGCAAACTTTAGGCAACAAAACGATAATTTACTGATTTTAATCATATTTTTGTAATGTGATCATCTCATGACTGGTGAAAGGAAATGTCAGAACATAAGTTTATGGCCACCAACCTGTCCACACAGAATATTCTTTAAACTCCACCGATATCACAATACGATTCACTACTTTCATCTGTTTAACTGATTATTTCAATATCATAAAAATGTCACAAATCACAATAACTTTATCACACTTCTATATTTTCATCCTCTTTCTATTAACGGTCGGCCATGCCAATTTTTACCTCAAATTGGCCCCTCTTGCCCCTCCAAGCACCACGCCTGTAAATAACATCACTACCGCGCATGTCTTCAACATTTTGCTATGGTGCCAAACTTCCCGACAATACCCAAACTTAAAATTAAAATAAAAAAAATTAAAATCATAAATTGGAAATGAAGCAAGATGGGAAAAAATATAGCTGCCCTGAAAACATGTGTCTAGGTCTTATTCATTACACCCTATAATAAAAACAAAATCATTTTTGAATAGCATTTGTTTTACCCACAAAATGCAAATTTGCAGACGCAATTTTTATATGTGGCAACATGTAACTTGGTGTTTGACATATTCAGTGATTTTAAAACTAAAAATAATTTATTATTAAAAAATAACAATTTTAATGACACAGGTAATAGTTATTTATAAATTTAATATCATCTCATGTTTACATTCTATGTATTCAGCTGTTAGTTTATAATTTTTAATTATTTGTATTAACCATGCAGATATCTGAAACCTTACAATTACAGTATTGAGATTATGAGCTAAAATAGATTAATGAGATTATACATCATATGTACATTACCTATTACATGATATCATATGGTGATTTCTAGAAAATAATAATGATTTATTGCAACTTACTGATAAAACCACTGAAATTTTATTTTAGTAGAGGATGGCTCAACAATCCAGAAGTATCTGGGCTATGATAATACGTAACTTTATTAATTCAATTAGACCTAGACAAATACAAGGAAACCTAATAGGATCAGATTATTTTGGTAACAAATATTTTGAAATACCACCAAACCCCTCAATAGGCAAAAGAAAAGCAAATAGATGGTTTGAACCACCTGTAAAGGATGATTTTATGCAGGAAATGCCTGCAGAATGGGAGGCCTGGCTTAGAGGGAGAAGACAAGAGCCCCCACTTGATGAAGAGGTTTTGAAAAATCTAGCAATAATGCAAATGAAGAAGAAAAATGCTATTGCAGTTGATGCTAAAGGGGGTGTGATGACGCCTCTAGAAAAGGGAATGGAATCCTTTCCCAGAAGACCTGAATTTGAACAAGTACCTGGAGGAAAGAAAAGTAACTATTAGCTTTATTTTAAAACAATGTACCTAAATAGAATTAAACAGATTTTATTTAATGTTTGTTTTTATTAATATAAGTTTCGTTTTTTAAATTATACCTATTTATGATTGAAAACAGGTGTTTTTTTATATAATTTATTTTTTAACTTTTGATACTTGGTAATTTAAGTCTATTTTTTGTCAGGTTTGTTTTTACATCTAAAAACAAAGGTATCAGTTTGCACTAGAGAACCAAAAAAAAATAACTATTGTATGGAAATGTAAATTTAACATCAGTTTGAACTAATGTTAAATTTACATTTCCACTTGAACAAGTCCGTGGGTAAAAGGCATAAGGGGATAAGTCAAAAAAAGCAATTTTTCAATAGAGCCTTTAATGTGTTTGCATTAATTTAGGAAATATATTTATGGTTAGCGGGTATACCCTTTTGTTAGTCCATGTCATATGCTAACAAAAGCATATACCTGCTAAACATAAATATATTTCCTAAATTAATGCGAACACATTAAAGGCTCTATTGAAAAATTGCTTTTTTTGACTTATCCCCTTATGCCTTTTACCCAAAGAAGTGTCTGAAATGTTTTAACTTTTTGGTGTTCTCAATCATAAATTTTGGTTTCTAAACCTGATTTTAAAAACGTCTTGATCATGATGATTTTTTTTCTTATAAAGTTTAAAAGATATTTAAAAAAAAATTGTTTAAATAGGTGCATGGAGAAAAAAATGTGATAATTAATTTGAAGATAAATAAATACAATTACAAATATTTATTTTACGTTTCTTTTCTTATATATTACATCAATAAAAGTAAGAATAATAACATTTTTTTTTAATAATTATATTATGTTTTGGGAGCTCCATATGCATCAGGCATCCTTTCAATGGTATATTTATGTTGTGAAACATACATAATAGGCACACCAGGTATTTTTCTTATTCTTCTTTTTAAATCCTTGTCATTTGTTGCTACAATATAACATTTATGTTGTGTTACTCTCTGCACTAAACAGTCATCTGCGTATGTTCCTTTATGCATACAATGAATTCTTTCAAATCTAGGATCCTTGATAATCCTTAACGCAACCTTATATTTTTGCCCTAATTTTTCTAATTCACCTAACACACAGTCTGTAATGTATGGTATACACTTTGCATACAAACAATCCATCATATTCTGTATAATATCCAATTTATTTTTAATGGAAAAGTTTATAAAATTTGTATCTATCAGAATATGATATGGAGGTCCTAGCTGAGTGTTGTACTGAAAGAAAAGAGCAGAACTGGCTTGTGGGGCTTCATGCACTTTTATTTCATGTGGGTCTTCCGGCTTTTTCCTTCTTGGCGGGGCACGCTGAGACGCTTTGATCCTGGGATCGCTCGGACTTATCATCTTCTTTATTTTTGCAAACCGTTTTTCAACAACTTTACGGGTTTTCTTCGTTTTTCCCATTTTTGAGAATCAAAACATCAACGATTGAGGTTAGAAAACTGACACGTGTGCTGTCAAAATATTTGACAAAATAAATAGAAGTGGTACCAACGTTTGGTAACCAACCTCTAAAAAAAGTCCCTAATATATAAAAACAGAAATGTGCGGGAAATTCAAATTTTCAATGTAGCCAACGTAATATAATTGAATGTTCCCAATAGGGAATTTTATTTTTTTACCATTGGCAACATCGACCGCATTCCTTGCATATGGTCAATTATTATTTCTTTGTTAAAAACGAACCGTAATAAAAAATAAACGATGGTTTGCTGCATAGATAATAAATCAAAAAATTAACAAATTTCATATAGGACTTTGGTTCGTGGATATTATTATTCGAGTTCGCTCGTTTTTTTAACCGAAAGTTATATTTTAACCCAGGATACACATGTATCCTGTGTGTGTATCCTGATTTTAACCGAAAGTTATATATATTGTTATATGGAAAGTTCGCTTTACCGGGTTCGTAATAGGCCAAGATACACACACATTAATAGGCGGACATATGTACTTACTTATACTACTAGAAAAAAGAAAAAAAAAATTTAATTTTATAATAATACCCATATGTTTGAACAAATAAAAATGGGAGGGCTATTTCTTTAAAATTTCCCACAAGGTGAGGCTTGGGTTCTTTGTTCATCTCCCAGTTTGATGCACATTGTTTCCATGTTTTTGATGTTAGATTCTGATTCTTTAAATCTTTAGGCGAGTTCTTGTAGGCATGTAAGGATATTGGGAATATTAATAATCTCATTGGTGAGTTATGGAGGAGGTTGTTGGGGTGTCAGATTTTTGTAATTATTCTTACTGCTGTTGTTTCTGCAACTTCCAATTTTTTAAGGCAGCTTTTAGAATTAACGGGCTATCCATAATTTACTCTGCATATCAATAAAATACTGTGCATTTAATTTTTAGGGGTTCTTAATTGCCATAAACATCTTTGATGCTAGGTTAAAATTAGTCACAATGTATCCAGTAATTGTTAGTATAACATCCAGTGGACTCTTAGATTTAAAAAAAGATAACTTTGAAAACAGAAAAGGTTAAAAAATAAAATATAAAAATTTTCATTTGTATGGTTTATTCATTAATAAAAACCTTAAAATGAAGTATTAAAATAAAAAATAAAATCAGAAAAATGTACAGTGTCAATATAATTAATTGCAAAATTAAAATTAAACAATTTGTCAATCCTACACAGTAGAAAACATTTTGGCTTATTAAATAAAAAATTTAACCAGAAAAGTCACTATGCTCAAATAATGTTTGGTCATATAAAGCTGCTCGCACCATCCTTCCTCCAAAATATCTTCCATTTAGTGCATCTCTTGCTTGCTCAGCTCCTATAAAATTAAAAAATGAGTTAAAGTTAAATAAATTACTAATTTAATTTAATTACCTGGTGTAGTGATAAATTCAACAAATATCTTTACAATAACATCAGAATCATCATCTTCCTCAGACTGTTTTTCATTGTATATGATAACCCTCTCAACAGCACCATATTTACTACATTCCTCCTGAATTTCCTCTTGTAAAGTTTCATCAACATCTTCAGGTCCAACCATGTTTCTTAAAATCACAACCTTTGAGTCAACCTTTCTCATAAGTTTCTGCATAACAAAATGCCTGGCATTCTGCCCTTTAATTGACATATTCTCTTGCTGCTGTAACGTTTGGGGCTCGTTTTGATCCAATAACTTTTTCTGCAGCTCTTCCTGTTGTTTCATCTGCGCTTCTTGCGCCCTCTTCATAGCCTCCTGCGTTGCGTTAACTACCGGAGGCGTAGGTGCCACAACTGGGGGTGGAGGTATTGTGCTTAAAACTGGCGTCACTATAGATGGTTGAATCGTATTGTTAGGCGTCAGTTGAGGTATTGCTATACCAGGGGGCGGCACAATCGCTGTGCCAGTTGTGGGAACAGGAGCACTGGTGAGAGATTGAGGCACTGAAGCCACGGTTGGCATAGCGACTGTAGGTGGCGCTACAGGCACTGTACTGGGTTGACTTAATTTCGATAAACCCAAAGCAGCAGCGTTACTAGCCACCGCGTCCATTGCTTGTATTTTCGCTGTAGCCGCAGCTGCAGCTACTGCAGCAGCTGTTGGCATTACGCTGGACCCTGATGAGGGACCCAAAAGGGCATTTGGCGGCGTTATTGCTCTCCCTACGCGTAAGTATTGTCCTCCTAAATCGAATAAGTTCATGCTGGCTATAGCCTCGTTCGCAGCTTGAGCTGTTTCATATTCGATAAAGCCGTAGCCTTTGTGTTTGTGACCTGATGATCCCTGAGCCAATTTACAATATATTATTGGACCAAACGCTTCAAAAACACTAAAAAAAATATTCAATCAATAAATTATTTGCTTTAGGGTCATTCCAAAGTAACAAGTCAGGCATTTTTACTCTTTTTTGCGTTAACTTTTGTTAGATATCTATAAAATTAGAATTTAATTATACGTGAACTCTTATCACTGCAAACCTTTATATTTTATTTATGTTATGAGTGATAAAAAAAGCATTATTTATCAAATTTATCCGAAATGTTGCGTGTTTTCGTTACTTATCCAATTAATAAAATATTAAGGTATGCAGTGATTAAGTGTTCACCTATAATTAAATGATAAGACTGGTCAACAGCCACTTTGCCACAGTAATGGTAATTTGGGTGCGCTAAATTAGCCTTTGTTTATATATTTTTAAATCAAATAATGATCATTGGTTATGAAGCTATGCGTCCTAATTTTACTAAAAAAAAAAAATATATCCAAACAAAAAGTTATTCCCGTAAAAAAGATTATTTTAACGAAATAAAATCGCTTTTTTAGCCAAGTGCTCTTTTGCCAACAATTTTAGTCCAATTTTAATAAAATGTACAAAATTTTGTAGCTTCATTTTTCTTATTTATTGAGTTAAAGTTTTAACGCAATCAAATAAAAATTGCCAAAATGGCACTCAAAACAACCGTGCGCGTGAAAAATTATATTTACGGTTGTTTTCGCTCCTAAAAAAATCTTGCAAATAAAAGTCACACCTATTAACATTAGTCATGCCACATAAACACTTGTACTTAATCATTACAAACATGCACATATTTTGTTTTAACCCTCAGTTTTCTTATGCTTGGGTCAAGTTCATTTTTGGTATTACAGTCAACTTCCTCCAAGATGATTTCTCATCTGACATGTTGATTTGTTTGAGTTAGAATGAGTAATAAAAAATATGTATTTAAAAGTACCACTGAGTTCAAGTTACATATTCATAGTTACAGGGTGGGCCAATGGAAAGTTTCGACCCCGGTTTTCTCAGGTGTTACTTAAAAAAATAAAAAACGCTCGAAAAATGCATTTTTATATTTTCAACCCCACATCAACCCACAAGCGGGGTTGATGGTTACCCCTACAATTTTTTAAGGAAAGAGGGGTCAAGTGATACCTTTTTAAATTCCTACATTTTGGTGTATTTGTTTTTAAAGTCGGTGGTTTCTTTTTGAGATCTTTGCGAAAAACTTTTCTTTCTAATTTATTTTCATCTTAAATATGAATTTTGACACGCGCGGTTATTTTGAGTGTCATTTTGACAATTTTTATTTGATTGCGTTAATACTTTGAAATTTAATAATTTAACCCAAAAATTAGTGACAGATGGATGAGCCTTTAGGTAAAAAGTTAAAAACACAGTACAAAAAATGTTTGATTTTGCATCTATTAAGTACTAGTCAAATCGCCGTTAAAAATACGTAAAGGCATGTCTCGTTTTTTGTGCTAAGCAACAAAAACGAGATAGGCCTTTACGTATTATTAACGGCAAAATGTGACTGGTCATGGGAAAAGTAACCTTAACTTATTCAAGCAAAATAATTATAAATGTAAAATGATTACCTTTTAATGTCTTCCTCAGTGAGATCTGGATGTATCGACGCAACATATATCCTATTGTACTGTTTAGCCTCCTCCTGTATTTCGTCGATGACCGTCTGTGCCTGCGGCATATTGCTCGGCCTGCCGACCACCTTGATGTTCCTGCCTCCGATCATCACTCCGTTCATCTGTTCCAGCGCCAACTGCGCCGCCTCCGGTATCTCGTACTCGACGAACGCGAACCCTTTGTGTTTTTGCGTCACCGGGTCCCACGACATATTAATCGATTTGATAGGCCCGAACGGCAAAAACGACTGGCGGATGGTGTCTTCCTTCAGTTCGAAACTTATACTTCCAACGTATACCCTAAACCCAGTACCATGTCATATTTCCAACTTTTTACGTTACCCCAACTGATTGTTAGTCGATTTTTTATGTTATGTTATTTTATGAACACGTAGATACATTTTTTTGAGAACAAGTTTTAAACAAATATTTTTACTACATTTTGTTAATTTTGATTGTTATTAAATAGTAAAAAAAACTGTAAAAACAAAAAAAAAATAAAAGATCTAAAAAAATTTAACACAAAAAAATCTCAAAAATACATATCCTGTGATTTACAAATACAATTACAGTTGAAAAATATAATCGTTACGATAAAAAATATAAAGCTTGTAAAAAAACTAAAATAAAATCTAATAAAAACAAAACAAATGTTAACCCACTCAATAAATATTAAATTAATCGGTAAAAAAATATGGTAACGAAAATATATATTTTAGCAATTGTATTGTTAAAATATTATCAGATCTTATCAGCAAAAACTCATTAGTCGGAAAAAATAAATTCTCAACAACTTCTTTAAAATAAAATGATCATCACATAATATTTTGACATGCACATTATTAAACAACATACATTTGTTACCTAACACACAAAGCACAAACAGCCCAGGCCAAAAAAAGAGTAAATTGAGAAAATGAATTTGCAACTTACAAATAATGTTATATATTCTTTGAATTAAAAAAAAGTATTTAAAAGGCAAAGAATGCCAATATTTATATTTCAATATGTGCATCAAGTAACATTGTAATTAATATTTTCACAAAATCCAAAATATTTATATGCAATAAAATGAACAATAAGGATTTCTATAAAAAAACAACTAAAAAATATAAAACTTATTTTAAAAAACTCATTATGATTATACAAAAACCTGAAACTGGAAAATGTTACAATGTTATTCAATGCATGTATCTATTTATGTGTAGACATTTGGCTCACATATACTTTTTCATGTTTATACGAACATTATTAGTTGTGTTTAGCTGTCAAACAGCAGTGGGTATGGGGAAATTTTGGGTTTTGTGTGTGCAACAATTGTATGATGGGTGATTTACGATGAAGCGTGCTAACCTGCACATAAGGGCGAGAGCCTGCTGCCGCTGGACCTGAGTCCTCTGACTAGCCATTTGCTGCAACAGAGGACAAGTGCCACGTCACAACTTTTTAATGGAAAAAACAAAAACATTTTTTGTTCTTTTTTTATTGATCAAAGAGAAAGCTTTTTGGGGGCGAGCTCTCGCCCCCCTGAGCGGGCGCGCGTGCGACTAAGCTACGCACTAACCTGCACATTAAAACTAATACTTGATGCCTCTGGAAGGTCTTATTTTTCTGTGAAGCAAAATTTTATTAGTCATCACTTAACTAAATGAAAACTGTACTACAGTATCAGTTTTTTAAATGGCCATATTTAAAATGCTTTTAAACGAATTTAGTCTCTTTGTAAAAGTTATTTGTATGATATAAATTTATTAACTTACAATATTGTTTATAGCAATAATTAACACTACCCAACATATTAAAGGCAACAATTTTAAAATTTCTGTACTGAAGCTCTGGCAACTAAGGAAGAAAAGCTTTTAGGGGTTTGAACAAAAATTCATAAACTATTTTGGATTGGCATTGTGGAAGAAGACATAAAAATGGAAAATCGATTTTTGCGAAGAAATTTTAAAAATTTTACCCATAGAAAATGACAAAAAATTTATAAATATCCTTATTTAAAATAGTCCTAAAACCAGTTTTTCAATTGAAATTGAATGCATATTAATTTTTGGGGAGGCACGGTTCCAACGTTTTTGTCCGCTTATGAAAGGTGCATGTAATAAAAGTTAAATAAATACAATAAAAAAACTGAATTACACCAAAAAAATGCTTTTATCTACTCCTATTGCAAAATATTGTGTTTTTTTCGTGAATAATAAACATTATAAATTCTCTGCCTAATAAGCAAATAATGAACTCATTTTATTCCGAGGGGTAAACAACGGGCGTAATAGGCGTACAAATTGGATGTAATCTATTACACTTTATTGTAATACCAAGTAATATTATGTAATTGCACGTAATATCACGTAATAGCAGGTAATATCACGTAATATCACGTGATAGTTAAGTAATACAACGAAATACTACGTAATACCACGTAATACTTTGAGTAATACGTAATACATAATATGCACATTTTGCGCGTAACGGTGCGCGTCATCTATATTTGAATACCGCTGTATACCGGTAAATTTAATTTGACCTAAAATTCGTATTTTTTCTGGTTTTTAATAAATTTAACCATACCTAGTAAATTCTTAAAAAGTTTGCCATTATAAAGTTGTTAATAGTTTTAATAGTAAGTATATTCATGATACCTAATGTTTTAACGTAAATTGTACTAACCTAACAAAGCAAAAAAACTAAGTTCAGATCGAATATATAGAGTAAAATCATCTTAAAAATAATTATTAGGATGTTTTTACTCAATATATTCCATACCATACATTAAGATGTTTTACTCTTTATATTTTATCTGAACTTGGTAATTATTATTGTCTTAATAATTATTGTGCAGTAATGTTTTATGTGTATGTATATAAATTAAGGGTTATTTTATAAAGTTTATTTTGCAAAATGTTTTTTATTTATACTTGAGATATTAAAAATGGAAAGGTACCTAAATAAAAACCTCAATTAAAACATAATACCTAACGTTTTTAAAATGTTATGTTTAATCGGTTTATAATTTATTGTTGTAGGCTAAAAAAATCATTATTTACCACGTTTTAAGTCGAAACTTTCGACCGATCATAAATTTCGATAATAACCTCACTTTCTACTTTTAATAATTGTTTCATCGAGCGTTTAAAGAGACGTTTAATAAATATGGAGAACTTGCAAAAGCCGATAAATCCATTATAACTTATTCCGAGATATTGGCCAAAAATGTGTACAGCAGAGTGCCCCAAATATTTAAAAACTATTAAAAGGGAATGTTGCTCCTGTTGGGTTGTCTCTGTTTCGGTTTTTACTTAAAATGCTGTGAGTCAAAAGAGTTTACCAAAATAAGTAAGAATCGGTACTATCCTTTTAAAATGTAAAAATGGATTTATCGCTTTTTGCATGTTTGCTCCACAAATAAAATTGTGCCTTGAAGAAAACATATTTATGCCATTCTGCCAAGGAGTATTTTTTGTGCTTCGATTTATTATAATGTGTTGACAACTGTTAACATTTTAATAGTATATTACACTACAAGGGCAGAAAGTGTGAGATTCCTGCATCATGGCGCGCAGTTCAGGGCTCTCACACTTTCTGCCCTTGTAGTGTATACTATTTTTCTTGCTACCCGGCCGAAAATACGGGAAAAAATTAAATGTTTATATCGAAACATATTGATGCCTGCCCCGACATTTGCGGCACGAGCGATATTATAGAGGGCGCGCGTATAGCTTGACCATATATCGATATATTTGTATATTTTTTATTTTGTAGAAGGATAAAAAATTACATTTTCTTACTACCTCGGCCGAAAATACGTATAGCTTGACCAATGCATCAAACGTAAACTTTCTGCCGTGGAATCGGGGACGAACAACGTATTTTCGGCCGAAGTGGTAAGAAAAAATATTTAATATGCATATTATGTGTATTAGTTACCTAACCTCAATTCTACACCTTTATACCTTCAAAAATAAATTTATAATTAAAATTATAGATGGCAGCACTTACGTAATACTTAGTAATAGGACGTAATATAACGTAATATCAAGTAATACAACGTAATATTAAGTAATAAAACGTAATATTAAGTAATACCAAATGTTATTACGTAATACGAGGTAATACATGGTAATTTTACGTAATACTTGGTAAGTATTACGCGTTTTGCGTAATAGGCGTACAAATTTGGCCCGGTTGTTTACCCCTCGTTTTATTCACGTTGTTAGGCATCAGTGATTGGCCGATTTCAATATTCACTGTGATTTGAACCAATCCGGTTTTAAATTGAGAGCGACTATAATAAAATTTAAAATTGGTAAAAAGTGAGGTTATGCATTTGACATCGGCCTTTAATATCGGTATTGGTCAATCCTAGAGTTTTAAAATGTCGAAATAAAAAACGGAACAATTGTAACGTTAAATATTCTGTAGGATGGGTGCTTTTTGGAAAAGACAGTCCATTGAAAATATCCATTTACAAAATAATGAATAATTTATAGTTAAATTACAAAATTATAATTTTATTAATCGATCTGTCAAATAAAACGATAGATATGTTAATACAGCACCGAATATTTTTTTTGCGGCCCGGTAGAATATTCTTACTGAATTAAAATAATTATTATATTCATAATACTATATGATTATAACCTAGAGTCGGAAATTCACTTTTTTCTCGTTATCAGTGTACGGATATTAACCGTAAAAATTTGTACATTTATAGAAAAATAAAAAAAAATTCTGACAATTTACCAATTTTTTTGTTTTTTTCCGCCGGCTCAATTTTTACTGAAATTTTAATACCCTAGTCAATGCCTAAAATTGATACCTACCCCAAAAATTTGGTACCGGTTTTGGGGGCATTTTGCAAAGGGAGCTTTTGCTGTACAGGGTGATCCCCTATAATGTCGCCCCCCTTTAACTTTTTTATTTTAAGTGTCCCAAAAAATTTAAAAGTGTGGTTATGTAGGTACTAAAAATACTTTTTCTTACTACCTCGACTGAAAATACGTTGTTTCGTCCCCGATTCCACGGCAGAAAGTTTACGTTTGATGCATTGGTACAATAAGTACTTAAATAACCTTAAATTATTATAAAATAAATTTTTCTTACTACCTCGGCCGAAAATACGTTGTTTCGTCCCCGATTTCACGGCAGAAAGTTTACGTTTGATGCATTGGTACAATAAGTACTTAAATAACCTTAAATTATTATAAAATAAATTTAATTTTTTCCCGTATTTTCGGCCGGGTAGCACAAAAAATAGTATACACTACACGGGCAGAAAGTGTGAGGAATCTCACACTTTCTGCCCTTGCAGTGAAATATACTATTTTTCTACGTACCTATAAAGAAAATTGGAAAATTTATCAGTATACAGGGAAAAACAAAAAGTTTATTTTTTTTAATGGATCACCCTATATATGTATTTATTTTTCGATTCCTTGTAAAATTCTAAGCATATTTCATATAACATACCATATACCTAAATTCAACCGTTTCTGAAATATTTAAATTATTTTTAAGATAATAATTTGAAATAGTTTGTCTTTCTCTGTCTGAGTACGCCATTTTTACTTATTTAACATGACATATTGACATAATGTCACTATAGTAATTTATTTTCAATAACAATTTTGGTATACTGAGGCTTCTTGATTTCTAACAGTTTAAAAAACATTTAATGATAACATTTCGAATGCAAATATTTCACAAACGGTTGAGTTTAGGTATATGGTTTGTTATATAAATTATGCTCAAAATTTTACAAGGAATCGAAAAATAAATATATATATATAGGGTGATCCATTGAAAAAAAATAAACTTTTTGTTTTTCATTGTATATTGATCAATTTTCCAATTTTCTTTATACGTAGAAAAAAAGTATTTTTTAGTACCTACATAACCACACTTTTAAATTTTTTGGGACACTTAAAATAAAAAATTTAAAGGGGGGCGACATTATGGGGGATCACCCTGTACATCGAAAAAGCATTTTTAAATATTAAAATGTAAAATATGTCGAGGCGGTAAATAAGTCACTTTTTTCTGGATATTAAATTTAGGGACCTACATGCATTTTCTAAGGTAAAATTTATCACGTTGATTCCAAAACAAAATTTTATATATAATATAAATATTGAATAATTAAAGCCCACATAAAACCAAAATTTAGCGCTAAATTTCTATATATTTAAATCTCTATTATATTTCATATGGGTTAGGTAGTGCAATTTGCTGAAAAGTTAATTTTTAAATTATTTGTAGCTTTGGTTGTAAATAATCTTTCCAAAATAGAACAATGTACTCTAAACAAAACACTTATATTTACCTGTTGCTGATAGGCTATAGTTTGCTTCATCAGAACCATCCTAATACTCTGTTCCATTGCATATTTCTTGGCTTTATTCACAGAATCACTTTGATCTGATGACAATTTTGGCAAGGCTCCTCCCAGTATTCCAGCTATTGTGTTGCTTCTAGCACCAGGACCTAAAATAAATTATAATTAAGTTATATGGACATTTTATTTAAAATCTGTTTTTTAATGTAATACTATAACATACCTGTAATAACTTCCCCTGTCTGTTTTAAGTCATAAATATAATTGATGCCATCACCTACAACAAAGCAAATTGTGTAGAATACAATTGAGCATTGATATTTAAACAGATAATAGCTGCAGTTTTTTAAATGAAGTCATAATTTTTATTAAATTATATAATTTATTTAAATCCATTAAAAATATAATATACTAATAACTTTTAATAAAAAAGTTGGATATTCAAGAAAGTAATTTATTTATTTTTTGTATACAAAAATGCAACTAATATAATTATTACAAAAAATTATAATGGGTTAAGAGTAGCTAATGCGAAACTTCGCCCATTTTTAAAATTTAATTTACTAAAAGCTGTAAAAAAACAGCCAACACCTGAAAATTTAAATGAATTGGAATGGTTTTAAATAAAATTGTTTTTGTTGCAATTCCTTGAGCCATAGGACATAAAGCATTTATACCAGAAGATGCTTTTTATCGGAAAACGACACAGTTTGCGGCAAAAGTTTTCACTATGAACACAACAAATGTCATTAATATTAAATGAGTCATAATAAATAAATATACCCTTAAATTTGTAAAGGTGATATCAATAATATTCATATATTGAGTTTGTAGCCTCCTTCTTCTTTTTTGTATTTAAAAATATAGTACTACACAAAAAACTGCAACACACAGACCCATCAAACCCAAACATTTTGGAAAAGATTTAGGAAAATATCCAGTGTTCAAATTTGTAGTACATAAGAGGAAAAAAATTTATTCACCACAATAACAAAAAATAATTCCTAAGATTATTTCAAATGTAAAAAAAATATTTAGTAGATTACAGATACAATGAACTATTAAGTTCAAGTCCAATAAATATGTGACAACTTAACATGGATTGCCCCCTGGGTGTTGCGCTTTTTTGCAAGTAGTATATGTAATTTACACACAAGAACACAAAAAATGTGCCAGGGTAAAGATTGTTTTTTATATATCTGATGTGCTAAATCCGGTTTTCTGTAAAGTTAATAGTGAAATTTTAAACTTTGATATTAAAAGGCTTTATCTGGTTATTGAACATAGTATTTTTTTAATAAAAAAAGAACACATTTTTAAAAATTATATTCATAGAAAACCTAAGTGATTTTTTAAAATTGTCAGAAATTCCCAAAACAGATCTTAAACCCCTGAGTTTTTTGTGTTTCAGTATTATTATTTAAGTAATTTAGAAAGAGCATTTTGAGATAGAGTGGAAAATCCTTAAATAATTATTCAGTGGTTACATGGGTTCTTCATTTTTAAATTGGTTCCCCATAATTAATAAATCAGTGTCATTTGAAATTCTGTAACACATGAAATAATTAAATTAGCATTATATAAAAATTATGTACATTTTTGCAGATCTGGCATGTAGTTTTCCAAATGATGGTCAAGTCAAGCCTCTAGTAACCGAAAACAACGTACTCAAGTTGCACCTAATTGTATCTGGAAGCACAAAAAGAAAATAGATAGGTCTAAACAACTCATCCGAGTTTTCCTTAGTGTAGTGAGAGATAATTATTTATTTTTATGCAGAATGAGTATGGGTTATACTGTAGAATAGCTGGTTAATAAATGTTACTTAAACTCATACTCAATCTCCTTTAATTACTTTTGTGGTCCTACCGTGTAACCATGCAGGCTACAGTTACAGCTTTTCAACAACTTCCTCAGTGACTACGAGCCGGATGATCTCATTCTGGAACATCTCAAGCAGACATCGCACATTAGTATGGGTGTCGAATACTTGAGGCTAAACACCTTAACATTAAGCAAACAAAGTTAATACTTACTTTCTAGTTTCTGGGCCTTCAGAGGGGGTTCTTCGGTTCCCGGGGCCGGTGGTTCAAGTTCTTCTTCTGGGACTGCCTGTTGAAATCCCCATTTATTGCGATTATCCCAATTTTAATATTTATACAAACTTACCATATTAGTATGTAAAACTAAATGCTCCTGTTGGTATGTGGTCATCATCTTGAAGTCTGTGATGTAAAGGTAAAAAACGACGAAGAAACACCTTTAAACTCACAATTGATTTTCCTGAGAAAATGGCGCCTTCGCAAACGTCGGTCGGTAATAAAAATAATTTGCGCCCTCTATATTAAACAAAATATAATTTTCTACTGTTGGCAACATTGCGAGTTTTCAAACGCGCTCCAGTAGTTTATTTGTCCCAAATTTTTAAGGTTAAATTTACTTGTCAGAGAAAATATATTACGTTTCTGAATAAAAAATAAGCATCACGATGGATATAACAATTCTCATAGCAGTTGCTGCTATAATATTTGTAGTAATATTATGCATATCATTTTTTCTTAAATCAAAAGATTCTTCCAAAGGTAAATTTTCTTTTCCATATGTTACATTTTGTGTCAATACTTGTTGTTTTAGCTGTTGAAAACAGACCAAGACCTGTCCCAGGTAGAGTTCGTGAAGGGGCACCTAGAAGAGCACAACTAGCCAGAAATAGAGGAGCTAGATTAAGAGCAAATGGTAAAGAACATAATACTTTGTGAAATACTTAATAATTTTCGATTTTTGTATTTCTAGCGGCCCACCAGAATGATCAAGATTCAGATGAAGGAAACAATGAAGCAGAAAATGAAGACATAGAACTGCCAGATGAAAAACTTGGTGCAAAAAAACGGGCAAAACTTGAAGCCAAAGCTGAGAAGAAAGCTGCAAGAGAAGCTGAAGAAAAAATAAGAGCTGACAGAAAGAAACAAGCTGAAAAGGCTGAAGAAGAACGTCGAAAAGAGGAAGAAAAAGAGAAAGCTGAAGAAAAACGGTTGGAGGAAGAAGAACGTAAAGCGAAAGAGGAAAAAGAAAGGCAAGAATATGAGGAATACATAAAAATGAAAGAAGAATTTTCTGTTGAAGAGGAAGGTTTTGAGGAAGGTGAAGAGGGAGATGAACAAAACTTATTACAAGAATTTGTGAACTACATAAAAAATAACAAGGTGGTGGTTCTTGAAGACTTGGCTGCTCATTTTAAGTTAAAAACACAAGCTGCTATTGATAGAATCAAGGATTTGCAGAGTGATAACATTTTAACTGGAGTTATAGATGATAGAGGGAAATTTATTTATGTTTCTCAAAAAGAAATGGAAGATGTAGCCAAGTTTATTAGACAAAGAGGTCGCGTTTCCATTGCAGAATTAGCGGAAAATAGCAATAAACTAATCAATTTAACTCCTGTTACTACTGTAAATTAACATTATTTATTAAAATTATTTTAAATTACAATTTTTTTATCATATGTATATATATTGTTTTCTTAATAAAGAAGTATTAATTACTCATATCTTCAATGAAGGAGGAAGATGAAGATTTTTCATCTTCCTCCTCCTCACTTGTAACATCTGGGTCATTTGCCTGAGATTCACACTTTTGGCAATTACAAGCAAAAATATAATTTTCCATCAACTCCTTCCTCCTTGAATGTCGTGATCTCTCCAATGTGCATTCATCTAAATAACTTATACAAATCTCTTCATTGGGTTCAATGTCTTTTAGAGCAATTAAAGATAATCTGTGATTATTATGCAAAAATGTTGGTTCTGCATTTGGAATGCAACAGTGGTTGGCTGTGCTTTGAAGCATATACAAAGCAACTCCTTCATTGTTTAGAAAATTACCAGTGTGTTTGTCTATATCTTCATACATTTTGTCTATAAATTTGTCCAATAATTCTTGTTCAGCATCAGGCAAGCCCATATTTGTAGCCTTATTAAACCATTGACTTATTGGGCTGGTACCCACACCCTGTCCATTAGTCCCTATTAAAGCCAAAAGGGATTGAAAACCATCCATAGTCAAAAACTGTCTAATACACTCATGATTTGGTATGGCATTCACAAAGGAATGGTGCAAATGTGACAGCATTCCCTCAAATTTGGGACCCAACAGTTTATGAGCTAGCTCAGAGTCTTCATTTACTGTCCTATGGCAAAACTGCAGTGTTTGCTGAATGGCTTCATCAGGATTAGGAGATTGCAGTATTCTTGCCAATAATCTTACAATTAGCATGACAGTGTTTGATTCCGGTGGGTAGTGCACATTTCTAAAAAACATTTTTATTAAATATAGATTTCTTTATATGACAACTGTTCTTATTATTTGTTACAAATAATACATTTGATCCTTTTGGTCCTAAACCTAGTTCTAGTTCTAGTTCTAGTCATTATTAATTAATATATATTTTTTGGTTTAAATTTTTATACAAGGTGTTTAATGCCATAATGTAATGTTCAAACATTTTTTGAATTTTGTTCAGCTACATTTTTTGAATTTTGATTGGACAGGGTGGCGCAATGATTATTGATGGTTTTTAGATTGTTATTATATACATATAGTTATGAAATAACTAAATAATAAGGGCAAAAGATCATTTTAATAATTATATATACAATTATTGTTAAAAACAATCAACATTATCTTTTGTCCTTTATTACTTAATATTTCACATACAGCTTTAGCTAAGCAGGGCAGAATAAGTTGCTAAAAGAAGGTATTTAAAGCACGCGAGTGTAACGTAGGGTCCACCACATCAATCCTGCTTAAAGAAAAGGATACAGAACGATTAAAAATAATAAATAATTGCGAAAACGATTAAGTTTCAATAATTTTTAATTATTTTGAATTGTATTTTGGTATTGGTTTGAATAGTTTACAATTATATTGAATCAGAAACTTAAATAGAAAATAATATTTCAACTATTTTCAATCGGAACTAAGATTTTTGTTTCTATCGGTCTGAATCGAAGAATATTATATATACAGGGTGTCCCAAAAGTCAACGATATCCTTTGAAGGGCTAATAGGTCAGCTCATGACTAATCAGAATATCAAAACATGACCTTAGTAAAAAATCATTAGTTTTTAAGACATTGGCATTTTTATGAATTTTGTGAAACTTGACACATAAAATCAGTTTTTAGAGTGCCACAACTACAAAATTCTATATTCTTAGATTATATTTTATTTTGCGTAACCCTGAATAGGACTGCTATTAATTACAATTCAAAATTAAATTAATAGTAGATTTTGTAGATGTGGCACTCGAAAAACTGATCTAAGGTGTCAAGTTTTACAAAATTCATAAAAATGACTAGGTATATCTCAAAAACGATTTTTTACTAAGGTCATATTCTGATTTTCTGCTTAGTCATGAGTTGGTCTATCAATCCTCCAAAGGATATCGTTGACTTATGGGAGACCCTGTATATATAGCCTTGAATATATATATATATACTTATATATAGCATTGAATGCAAATTTCATAATGTATTGACGCAGCATTGTAGGCGGGATGTATATATATATATATATATATATATATATTGTGTATTAGTCCTTCGGAGGGGACTTTAAGCCCGCGGTCCCTTCCTACCCCTATCCCGCACAAGCCATTCAGTTGGCTTATGGGACTTCTTAAGAAGTAAGGGTGGAACTAAAAGAGCACTTTTGTATATAAACTTTTTTTTTGTATTATACAGGGTGTTTCATACCAGGAGGCGAAAAATGAAATTCTATATTCAAAACGTCATTCTAAATAAAAATCTTTAATACTTTTTTGTTCTATCATTTTTCGTTTTCGAGTTATTCGAGTTCAAAGTTTTGAATTCAAACAATGAAAGGATAACAATATGCAATAATAGGATTCATAATTCTAGCAACCAAAATATACATCCATGGAAACGTATATGTGGTCTTCTGCCTTACAAATTTGTCATACAACCTGTCAGTTTATTGTAAATTTATAAACAAAATGGAATTTACGAATGAAGAATATGCAGACATTGTTTTTATTTACGGGTACGCAAATGGAAATGCTTCTGCAGCTTCCCGAGAATATCTGCGTAGATTTCCAAATAAACGACAACCATCCCGCCGTGTATTTTCAGACGCATATCAAAGACTCCGAAGAAATGGTATTGGAAGCAAGCATACAGGAGGTGCGAACTTCACACAATGCTGGTCAAGAAGAGCAAGTAATTGACGATGTACTTAACGAACCCGGCATTAGTACCAGACGTATTGCTAGTACCCTGGTGGAAATAATTCTACAACATTCTACAACATTTAACGCGAAAGCTACAACTTTCTACGCGACTTTGCTACAACATTTAATGATTCTCTACAACTTTCTACAAGACACTACTACATTATTTTAAATAACGTAGAAAATTGTTCAAAGTTGTAGCTTTTGCTACAATTTTCTACAAGATATTACGCGGATTGGGACATTATTGTTATATTTCGTAGAAAGTTGTAGCTTACTAATATCATAGTATGCTACAACTTTGAACAATTTTCTACAAGATATTACGCGGATTGGGACATTATTGTTATATTTCGTAGAAAATTGTTAAAAGTTGTAGCATACTATGATATTAGTAAGCTACAACTTTGAACAATTTTCTACAAGATTTTACGCGGATTGGGACATTATTGTTATATTTCGTAGAAAATTGTTCAAAGTTGTAGTTTACTAATATATTACTATGCTACAACTTTTAACAATTGTTTAAATTGTTTAAATTAATTTTCTACGAAATATAACAATAATGTCCCAATCCGCGTAATATCTTGTAGAAAATTTTAGACGTACGAAATTTGTTTAAATTGTTTTTTTTTAAATTGTTGCTTGTCCAATTTAAAACTATTATTTTATATTATTTTAACTTTGCTAAATCTAAGTGTTTATAATTTATTTTTTTAAAAGAAAAGATTACTTAAATTAAAAATACTTACTTTGTGGCGCAACATTTGCTTTTTTGGTGGGCGATACTTCTTATAATTAATGATTTATAAGAAAACATTATTAACTTTAACAACAATCTATTGTAGTCGCCTGTGTCGTCTACATTGACTACAATATTGTTTTTTGTATATTATATTATATTATTATATTGTACATATTATGTTATATTAAATTTACCATTGATAATTTTTTAAGTCCCTTTATTACCTCACTATGTGAATCAAATTTTGCAGCAATGACTAAAGGAGGTGGTTTGATTTTCTTTGGGTTTTGGCCGGGCTGAGTCTGGAATGTTAAGAATTACATTTCTTCCAGATTGGCTGGTTGTAGCTTCCTGACTATCATTACTTTCCATGGGTTGGGCTTCTGGTTGATCATTAAATTTTGGAATTACATTTTCAATTGTTAAACCTTCATATTTATTACTTATAACTAGTTTAGGTTTCTTAATATTGCCTTTATTCACTCTCTTAAAAGGAATTGTTTTATTTGGGATTTGGAAATTTTGTTAATTATTTTCTGGATTGTTTTTATCATTAGCGGTGTTTCCATTTAAAGAAGTTATACTATTGCTTGCAGACAGGCCTTCGTCTGCCTTTCTTTTTATATTTTTATCATTTAATTCTATTGGTGTTGTCATATTAGTATCGGATTGGTCAGTTAGCTCTTCGAAATCGTCTGAATTTATTTTTAAATTTTTAAATAAACGTAATTTCTCGAACTTATTATCTTTTCTAGCTTGAATTCTCTGCTTATGCTTCAGGCCCTGTTCAATCGTTTTTCTGTATATTTTCTTGTTTTTATTAATTTGGGAAATTAATCAACTGACAATGGAAACTTCTGTCAGCTGACAACACTGACTTTTCTGGATTTTCTGCTTTGTTGCACTTTTTTAGCTAATTTAATGATATTTTGTGCTAACCTTATATGTTACAGGCTTCTTGCTTCAATATCAATATATTATCGTCTATTTATCAATATAATTCTCTATAATTCTTTATTTATCGCAACAGGACAAAATATTCTGACGCCTTTCAACTTCAGAAAGTAAAAAATGATGTACCTATAGTTTTACGTTGAATGTTGTTGAGATTTGTTTTGAGTTACAACTTTCTACAACAACAAAAAGTTGTAAAAATTTGTAGAAAATTGTAGTTATCACGTTGAAGGTTGTAGAATGTTGTAGAATTATTGTTGTAAAATGTTGTAAAAATTTGTAATAAATTACAACTCTTTACAACTCTCTACAACAATACAAAAAGTTGTAAAAAATTGTAGAAAATTGTAGTTTTCGCGTTAAATGTTGTAGAATGTTGTAGAATTATTTTCATTGAATGTTGTAGAAATTTGTTATAAATTACAACTCTTTACAACAACGAAAAGTTGTAAAAAATTGTAGAAAGTTGTAGTTTTCACGTTAAATGTTGTAGAAAGTTGTAGAATAATTTTCGTTGAATGTTGTAGAAATTTGTTATAAATTACAACTCTTTACAACAACGAAAAGTTGTAAAAAATTGTAGAAAATTGTAGTTTTCGCGTTAAATGTTGTAGAATGTTGTAGAATTATTTTCATTGAATGTTGTAGAAATTTGTTATAAATTACAACTCTTTACAACAACGAAAAGTTGTAAAAAATTGTAGAAAGTTGTAGTTTTCACGTTAAATGTTGTAGAACGTTGTAGAATAATTTTCGTTGAATGTTGTAGAAATTTGTTATAAATTACAACTCTTTACAACAACGAAAAGTTGTAAAAAATTGTAGAAAGTTGTAGTTTTCGCGTTAAATGTTGTAGAATGTTGTAGAATAATTTTCGTTGAATGTTGTAGAAATTTGTTATAAATTACAACTCTTTACAACAACGAAAAGTTGTAAAAAATTGTAGAAAATTGTAGTTTTCACGTTAAATGTTGTAGAATGTTGTAGAATTATTGTTGTAAAATGTTGTAAAAATTTGTAATAAATAACAAGTCTTTACAACTCTCTACAACAATACAAAAAGTTGTAAAAAATTGTAGAAAGTTGTAGTTTTCGCGTTAAATGTTGTAGAATGTTGTAGAATCATTTCCACCAGGGTAGGCTGGTTTCTCATAGCTTTGTTTGGAGAACCATACACCGAGAAGTATTGCACCCGTACCATAAGCAAAATGTTCAGCATTTGCAGCCAAATGATCACGAGCCACGACTTCTGTATTGTCAATGGCTGCTTCGTCAACATGAGCAAAATCCAAATTTTATTTCTTCTATTGTATTCTCAAATGAAGCTGCTTTTACCAGAGATGGCATTAATAATACCCAT